ATGTGAATGATCCTGAATGGACGACTGCTCGCTGTTACAGACACTTCCCTGTTGCTAAAATGAGGAAACTCACGGCCTGCCATCATCTCACGGTCTCCTCTCTCTCTCTCTGTTTCTTGCTTCATCGTTGAACATCCTCTGACTCACAGGAAACAAGATGGAAGGATTCCTCGTATTCCTGATGAAGTAGAGCCCTTGGCAGCCCGACCCCACTCTGCGTTTCCTTTCCCGTGGCTTTCAAAGGTAATGCATCCACTTCCTTTCAATGTTTCTTCTCATCAAGTCCTGGAAGTGTTACATTCAGGTGGAAGCTGTCTCTCATGTCCCCCCGTCTCCCTCCCTCCCTACCTCACTGACGCTGTTGACAGGCCTGACAGAAGAGGGTGCCCTACGTCCGTGGCTTCTGTAACAAATATAGATCTGCTGTCATTATTCGCCTCACGTACAAAATAAAACAGAGAGGAGTTCTTCTTGCTTCACATCAATGTGTTTGTTACCAACTAGTCCACCTGTTCCAGTGTTCGCATTAAGATAAACTGTAGGTGATTAGAAAAAAGTTTTAATGTCTGCAACCCACACAGGCTGCCACAGGTGGCGCCATTCAGGATATGTTGTTCCTCCGGGAATCAAGCACATGACTCTGTGTTTGCGAGCAGGGCACTACTAATTCACGGAATGATTTATTTCCCATTGTGGACAGACGTACGGGAAGCGAGCCTTATGTTGTAAAGACAAACATGAGTGGTGGCAGCGATGACAGGAAGCTGTCATCACTGAATGGTCTGCAGGACAGATCCAGGGCAGCAGCTCAGGCAGCAACACTTTAGAGTTTTACAGCTGGGTCTATTGGCAGCTGTTAAAGTTTATGGGGTTGAACGGAGCTCCGTCAGTGGGATGTTGTTGTCGAGGAGGACAGAGTTGATAAACTAGGACTAAAGACTAAGTTACATTCTGAAATATGTAAGTTCATTTAAAGAGTTAGAAAAACAATTCGACAATATATTAATATTAGTATCTCTGTTATTTATCCTTCAATGTTTAATCAGTAATTTCACCAAATTTCTGTATCTAACACAAATAATGTGCAGAGTGTGAAACAACATTTCGTTGACATGTTTAACAAACCCTTTTCCTAAACACAGCACTTTTTTTTCATTCTGGAATAACTTGTTTCAATCAGATTGACACAGCACTCAGCTACAGGAACGTTGTCTACCCAGAAGCCCTGGCTTTGCACTTGACGTACTTTTGGTGAAGGGAGCGGCGGGGCTGACCTGAACTGTCAAAATAAGAAAGCAGCAGTTTTGACAATATTTGGGGAACTGAGAATCAATCAAACTGGTTCTGTAGAGACAACACCAAACACTGACCTTTGAAATTTAGCTGAGTCTTTAAGTTACACTTTGAAATTCATATTCATCTGAACAGTGGTAATGAGATTATTTAATTAGGTCATAATCAGGATTAGATTTCAGTCATGACCAAAACAGGAGTCAGGGCCTGTTTTATATAATGACTTAATAAAGTCTTAGTCAAAAAGTAATTTGTTCTTGTTGATATTAGAATGTGAGGACCAGTGTTTGACCTTTGACACAGCTAATTCTCCAGCTACCTTATTTTGTAAGGTTGGAATTAGAATTAGGATTAGGATTAGGATTAGGATTAGGATTAGGTTTTTTAGTTTTCACTCGTGATAATCCCCTCAGGGGAATTATTCTCAGATTTACCCCCGTCCATAAAACACCCCTGTAATTAACCTCAGGTATACAGACGTGATAGACTGCTGTTGGACAGTAGCCGTTGCCAGGGTTGCCAATCAAACAGCAGTGTTTTCATTAAAGGTCTGATCCTTCAACCACTGTTACTGTGAGGGTTCACATAAGGTCAGGAATTTAAAGCTACATTTCTTTTCTCACTTGATAAACCAACTCATTGACTGAGTCATTGGTCGAGACCAGATGTCAGAAGTCAAAGGATCAGACCAGTCATATTATAGGTCAGTCTTTATCAAGTGTCTCCCTAGTCCCAGTGTCCACAGGAAGGTCAGACAGGTCTCTGTCCATGGATTTGGTCTGGTCAATAATGCAACGTAAAAGAACTGCATGAAGTAATGAGGCCACATCTGAACGAAAAGAACTGCATGAAGTAATGAGGCCAGACCTTCTCTGAACATAAACGTTTGAGACCGTAGTGTGTCTCCAGACAGAGTCAAAGAGTGAATGGACTGATTGTTCGTCACTCTTTAATTAATGGACTCTCACCATCTGTTTACAACCGGGCACACACACACACACACACACACACAGGGCAGTTGTTTGTAATCAGCTCAGTAACAGAAGATTGCAGATATTGAAACCCTCCAGCATTCAAACAGTGATGTCACAGTAACCACTGAGGCTCCACGCTGTCTTCAGGGCCAGGAGGCCAAACATGTGCGGACCAAAAGCCTGACCCGCGTGAAGACGTGGCCTGTGTCCACTTTGAACACCAAACATACAACCAGTGGTGATGTCACTGGTTCATACTGGACCGGGCTGCCTCAGTACATATTGTCCCAGTAGATGACAGCACATGCTGTTGTCACCAGTACAGGGCGCTATACAACGGGGGGTCGAGATTTTCCAACAGCTTGAGTGGAGATGATCCGCCCACACAGTCAGTGAGTACTGGACAATGTGGTGCTCACAGTCTGAAGAACAACACTGATTAAGATCTTAGACACAGTTTTACAGTATTTTTATCAAACCATGCACAAAGAAGATTTTGTTTTAATATTTTATCAATATGGAGCTTTTTTTTTACCTTTGGTCACACTGCAGGCAAATGAGCAAAAAAGTGATTTTATGAAGTCCAACCACGGCCGCTTTCAAATGTGATTTTAAGTTGGACATCCCACATGTATATATATACATATATCTATAAATAAATAAATATATATATATATATATATATGAGCCCTGCACCAATGGTACATGGATGTACAGTATGTGCTGCTACCAGTGTGTACTTTCCATTGATTTCACTTGAACAAATCCTAAAGATCGTTGCTGCACTTTGTGCTGATCTCCTGATGACGGCCTCCAACGTTCTCCTCTGCTGTTTGATGATATCTGAGGGAATAAATGGAGGAAAAAAGACTCCAGTAAAGTGACGGCTCCTCTCTTACTACAGCACAGCTCCTCCCCACCTTTAATCTCCCCTCTCCTCCTCTGTCTCCTCCTCCTGTCATGACAAACACTTTCTGTGCTCGACTACACACAGATGATTCCTGGAGGTGCTGCATCTGGACCAGCCATCCGTCAGGCTGAGGCTCATGTAGTGAGCTGCACTGCCTCTCTGTCTCACATACTGTACAGTATCTCCTGCAGAGGAAGAACCTACACACTGTCGTTTTCTGACTGATTCTGTTTCACATCCTCTTATTTCATTTTTCTCTTCACCAAATGCCTCATTATTGAACAACGAAGGAAAGGAAAACCATAGTTAGAATATAAAACCATGCATTATTATGATTAATAATAATAATAATAATAAAAGTCCTGGTGGAAATTCACAGTGTGAATCTTTGCAGCCCACACAGGCTGTAACAGGAGGCTCCATTAAGTATGTGGTTCCGCTGGGGCTCAAACCCACGACCTTCTGCATGTAAGGCAAGTGTGATAACTGCTACACTATGGAACCAATTTCCAGTGAACAATTAACATATTCCCCAATCAGCATGTTTTGATGACGACAGTAATACTGCGTATGAAGTTTTCAGTGTTAGTATTCAGTTTAATGACGGTCCTTTAACAGTCGGAGTCCGCAGCCCGTGCACAGCACTCTCAGAATTGGATTTAAGAGCCATGACTGTTTGGTCAGTTTGGAAAACAAGGTCACAGATTTGGTCCACATGACAACATGACGTGAAACCTCACACATGGCCCGTGCAAAAAGGTCAAAGGTCCACTTGTGACCCAGAAGCCACAGGTTGCACGGTTGCCCCCCCCCCCCCCCATTTAGTTAAGAAAACACTATCCTTCCTGTAGCTGTCGTACTGAGAAGCTGATCCTCCAGCCACGTTTCTGTGGAAAAGGCTGAAGGATGATAAATATATCTGACATGTACCATAAAATCAATTAGATTTATGAAGCAGTAATAGACTGTAGGTGGATAAGCTGTGTACACAGTCCATAAGAGTACTGCAAGTACAATTAACCCACTTTTCACCATGTGATGGAAAGCATACTTTATAGTTTCTGCACACTCACAGATTATAATTGATCATCAGAGACTGAATGTGTGCAGTGATCTGGTTTGATTTTTAATGGATGGAAGCTCGGGGGTGGGGTGAGGGGGGTTCACAGCTGCGGGCCTGTGAAATGTAAGATTTCAGAATAAGAGGAACAGAAAATCTTCTCACGCCTCGTGTCATTTCTCCCCTTTTTGTCAATGTGTGTGTGTGTGTGAGAGTGTGTGGCCGTTGCATTGAAATAGAGAAAATTGTTGGGCAGAACAGACGCAGGGAGGGTCCAGTCGTCTGTTCCTCCCTCTCTCCTACTTCCTACAGCTGTGTGTGTCCATGGGAGGGTACTGTAGAGTGGACGGGGCATTAAAAGAGGAAGGAAGGCCAATAATATTCTCACACTCCAGCAGTGCATTTATCTCTCTCACACACACACACACACACACACACACAGGTTCTCTCTCTCGTGCATGGATTTGGTTGGACGCCTCTCAGCGTTTTTTACCACCTGAGTGACTGAGTCACTTCTCACCTAGTGGCTGACTCCGACATTAGCGCTTTCACTCTGGTCAGTCTGCCCAGCGTTGGGTTTTGTGCAGTGATGACTGAGCTCAGGATAGCTAAGAATGTGTTATTGGATGGACTCGGCAGTCCGCCCAGTAGGCCTTACCTCAAGAGACGGTGCTTCAGCGACGTGAGTATATTCTTTTTTTTTTTTACTTTCTTGTGGTGAGGCTGTGAACAGTCACTCAAGTTGTAGTTGCTGTTTGGTTCGGCAGGGCAGCTCTGTACAGTACAGTACACTACAGTACAGTACAGTACAGTACAGTACAGTACAGTAGTTGTAGTAGTAGTTACGTCTGATGTGATGCACAGTGGCTCAGTGTATGAGTCTCAGTCTGTTTTATTTTGAAAAGTAACAACTGACTGTTTGTTCCTTGAAAAGCATGTGTTCACATTCTGTTGTATTTAAAAACAAATCATATTGTCAGTTTTATTTTGATTCTCAGCCCAGATGTCTCTGTGGTTTGTGTGTGTGCGTGTGTGTGTGTGTGTGTGCGTGTGGAAAAGGGCAAAGTTGTTCCTGTTTGTTTTGGAACATGGCACGGGTTATTTTCTCATTCAACATGAGACCAAGGCTGCACCTTGGGTTTTATTAGGTCACAGTCAGGTGTGTGTGTGTGTGTGTGTGTGTGTGTGTGTGTGTATCTGAGCCTACCTTTTATGAGGAGTGTCATGTGTAGGTGCGGGTTAACAAGTGTGCTATAGTGTGTGTGCACGATGCACGTTTACGACTGCCTGTGTTTGGAGTTTGGAGCAGTGACCCTCTGTGACTGTAGGCTGTCAGGTGGAACACCCGCTGGACACCGCCGTCCATTTACATTCAGTTATCTTACAGTAATGTGTTGTTGCACCATGAGACTGTACCACTGCTCATTTCCTCTGTGTATTTTTGTTTGGAGTATCACATTTTGGTAGGATGTAATCAGAGTACTATTCACCAAGAGTATATCTGACACAAAACAGTAGCATTTAAAGCAATTAGCATTGACTCGTCATTCTATTTTAAACTTTGTCCATCCTTATAATATGTCACATGACACGAACTATATCAAGAGTTAAAAACGTCACAGGAGACAAAAACCTTGGCTCGATATAAAAGACAGAATCATTCTTGTCCTCCTGTTGACATCTGCAGCATTTTGTACCCTGCTAACAGAGGATGCTAACGAAGGCAGCAGAGAAGCAGTGCTGGGACTGAGAAGAGTTAAACCTGAGGCCCAGGCTGACGTTCCGTCATTACTTCCAAAGTTTACTGATGAAAGGAGCAGCTTGTGTGCGTTCACAGTCAAAAAAAAACTGAAGTGTTTCCGTACCCTCAGTTCAGACGCTGTCCCACTTGGTGGGCTACTCGACTCCACTCACTGAACCAAAACACAGGCGGCAGCCTCATTTCAAAGGCTCCTACAGATGTGTCCTTCCAGACACAGCTTATCCCAGAAATGACTGCCTAACAGATGTCGCTTTGAAATCAATTCAGGGCAAAAAGCATTGACAAATGTTGTTGGTGAAGAAAGAAACAGTAGGCGTTCAAGAAAAAAAAAAAGATTTTCTGGATTTTCTCATGTCATGAGCCATCAGTGAAGGTTAGAACACAGAAGTCAAATGATCTGTCGATCAGACAGTGGCTAAATAAAAATGTCTCCATACTGCATACTGTCCACCCTGTCCCACACACACCTAAGAGACGGCTGTAATTCACCTGCTGCTCCACAGTCAGATGAGCTGTTGGCTGTAGCAACAGACTGAAGCACCATGGGGCTGGAGGCTCATTTTCCCTGCGGAGTTACTTGTTGACAGTGTTTTTGTCAGTGTGGTGGAACGACTCTCCTGCTGCTGAGTGAGGCAGCAGTGAGAGGGATATCAAGTGAGTTGGCCGAGGCGTCAGGGAGTGCAGGCAGAGTGAGCAGAGGAAATTAGTGGAGGAGGAAGAGCACGGCAACACATTTTGACAACTGTGTCTCTCTTTTTTGGATCAACTCTCTCCCCCAGACGTCCGACCTGTTTGCCATGATTGAGAGGATGCAGGTACAGTAAACGTTCTCCTGAGTAGACTTCCTGCCGACCTGTTCATTTTTCCTAATCAGACTAAATTAAACGTCGTCCCCTGAATGCCTCGCTTTTTCACTTTTGAATTAAAACATTTACTCTTCTTGCCATGAACTAATGTTTATCTGCTTGCTGTGATATTGTAATATTTGTGTCACTACAACACTACTGTGTGTGTTTTCTGCTCGTCGACCGTCAGTTCTTTCATCTGCAGCAGTGACTCCCCGAGGCTGCCTCTACAACCATATGATTCTGAAAGTGCTGAACAGAGACTTTCTGTTTGCTCTTCACTGATGCTGGTATTCTCTGCATCATCAGATGTGGGAAATGTTCTGGTTCTTTATATTTGTTTTTTTTTTTCCTCGAGTCCTTTGTAAAAGGTGCTTTTCACAAGAAAAAACTCACGAGACACATTCACATCAAACAAACCCCCTCTCCTTTGGGTGTGAATGAGTTGTACACTCTTTATTCAGACTTCATGCCACGTGGGTCAATTTGAAAATCATGTGTGAAGATTCCACCTTTTAAACTTCTTCTATGTTCTGTGCTTTAGCTCTAAATTTGGTGACCAGATTGTGGGTCACAAGCTTTATTTTTGTTTTCTCAATACCCTCACTGTGATGATGTATTAGTGATGGACAATGATTGATTACTTTTAATGTGATTAATCGTAAAATTGCTTGCAACTAATTACAGTCAATCACATGACCAAGCATAAATTCCTGATTTTTTTATTTAGAAAGTTATACTGTATGAACAAATGTGTACTGTGGAAAATAAGAAACTTTAAAGTTGATTTGCTGGCATAAGTAATGTGATTGCGTTCGAGTGATATTCCAAACTTTAAGTGAATGGCAAAAAGTATAAATGTGAACAATAACGTCTTTGTTGTGCTAACAAAAACCTTTAGTTCTGTTAAATGCACCTTTTTCTCTATTTTTTTTTTGTTCCGGTTCATGTGAGTGCTGAGGTCTTAGGCCCGCCCAAATCCTCTCATTGGCAGAGTGCTGGATGTGCATTCAGAGCCAGTGAGTACTGGACTTTTGAAACAATGATAAAACCATAATAGAAAAATGTGCCTAAATGCAGGGCTTTCCACTAACACACACAGACCTGTCAGCCGTAGTACATAAGTAACCATTGAAGTGGTCGGCTGGACTCAGCTGTGTCGTCGGTTATATGGGCAGCAGCCGGCATTTGTGCAGTTTAAAAATATGTTGTTAATCAACTGATGCTAACATGAAAGTGAAAAAAAAAATTTTATTTTCTGTATTTGTTCTTATGCGTTTCAAAATCCCAGAAGAAAGCGTTGCAAATGATATAAGACAATTCAACAAAGAGAATCGAAGAGCTGCAGAAAAATAACGAGGATGTTTTTGTTAACCTTAAAAACTTCCTCTGAAATTTGACCAATCTTTAAATCACCTCTTTTGAATAGTTGGTATTTAAGAAGTCGACAGAATTAGCAGAAAAATAGTTAAATGATTTCTGTAGCATGGCTTTAATCACCCTTTTGATGTTCTAATAGGCTTCTACTGATCTGCTTTGTTGCGCTGCAGTCTTTCTCTTATCCTTACTTCCTCATTCTGCTTCCCATCTGCTGATGGAGCTCGTCTTATGTAAACATGTCCTATCATTACAGGAGATTATTCCTCTTTTCTACAGCTCGGGAGAATACTACGCCGCCTGACAAACCCAGAACGTTCTGTGTGATTGTTTGTTGTTCAGCAGATATCGCACTTCGTCCAACGATCAGATCGTGATCGTGTGACTTTCTCTTTTCCTCACAGAGTTCCAGAATGGATGAGCAGAGATGCCCCCTGCCTCCTCCCCTTAAAGTGAGTCTAAAGTCTGCATTTGGTCTCGTCCATAAACCACAGTCTGGTGAATCATCCATAATAGAAAATGTAGAAACCTTAGCTTATCAGCCTCCAGACAGCCACCGAGGATCGCACCTACTGGGATGGGAATTTGATAGGAACTATATGGCTGCAAAGATCCTCTTCTGTCTGCTACACGCTAATGCATTTACAATCTAAATGGAACGCCTCGGTATCAGGTCTGGGCGTAATTCTAGAGGAGCTAAACAGTCGATTGAAATCACAAACATAAGGACGCTAAAACATCAACGAATCCGTTGAGGGTTTGAAGAAAGACAGGCTGCTGGATGTCGACATTCCAAACTATATTAGGTTCAATATGTGAAAGCAGGAGTTTATCTTTGTCATAAAATAAGGTCTTAATAAAATGATAATAATAATAAAATATACTATTAGACTGCACGGTGAACAGTGGTTAGTACTTTTGCCTTACAGAAAAAAGGTTACCAGTTTGATCGCTGAATCAGTTTGCATGTTCCCCATTTGTGGTTGTTGGTTCCTATTTACAGTTAGTTTGAGCAAAAATAAGCATGAATAGAGTATGTACAGTATGGCCCTGTGATGGACTGGTGAATGGCCCACGGTTTAACCCCCGCCCCACTTGTTGAGTGCTAGAATGCGGCTGTGGAAAAGATACAAAATTGTTAAAAATGTTGTATTATGATTTTAACCAAAATAACTCGCTTGATAATTTAAGAATTATGTTTAATCTGAATATTGTTGTGTCACCACTGACTTTGACCGGTTGTTCATTTCCTCCCTGCAGACAGAGGAGGACTACATCCCTTACCCCAGCGTTCATGAGGTAAAGACTAACACAAAGTCCATGCAGTTTATAGAAGTTAAAAAAACAACTCATTTTGATGGAGGTGTCAAACATTAACACTGGTCAACTGGACCGGCAGGTTCTGGGTCGCTGCAGCCCCTTCCCACTCATCCTGCTGCCTCAGTTTGGTGGGTACTGGATCGAGGGAACCAATCATGAGCCTAAAGACCCCCCAGATACTGATCAGCCCCCCTGCCCTACCACCCAAATCAAACTGGAGACAAACAACACTGCCAAGACCTACAGGAAGACCTTTGTGGGCAAGGTGAGGCTCGTTACCAAAACTAAACAAGAGATTTTTAGACTATTATTTCTGGAAAGTACAGCTTGAACACATTTATAGCCACCTGTTTTTCAAGCAACATATGGTTTTATTTCAGCTGCTGGATAAACATGCTGATTAACTCTCTGTTGATAAACCTTTATATTTTGATTACTGGGAGTGTTTATTTACCTTTATTTATATTTTAGATATATTTTTTACAACTGTACCAGAACGCAGCTGGCAGACCTGTTTTATATTCTGTGCACAAAGAGCATGTATCATACAGCAGCAGTCACTGAGCGTCGATGCCTTATGTAACAGAATCAATTGTTCTTATGTTTGATGCATAGACAGTAAATGTGGAACGGACTGAGTCATCGCTTTTCCATGCTACGTTTGTAGTTCGTGGGTTTAAAGGCAAGCTGCCTTGGTAGGAAGCCTGAAAAATCCAGCCACTCCTGAATATATTTATAACATCGCTGTCGCTATTTTCCAATGATTTAATTATCTAAACAACTAGTTTTTGTTTAGTTATAAAACAGAAATGTTCTTCAATATATTTTCAGTTTCAAATGTATTGAGGGTTTTTTACATTCCCTCCTCAGTACTTTTAACTACTTCAGTTTTACATTCATCTCGTGACAAGTGACTGTTTAAACTGTAATTTCCCCTTGGATTGTGTTTCTTAAAAGTGTCTGTCTGAACCACATTAGCATCATCTAGAAACCGACTTCATCTGTTACATTGAATATATTTCCATAAAGAATGAAAGTCTCTGGTTGGAGTACAGAGCCTTGTGGGATTCCACACATTATATTTCCAGGATACAAATCTGCATCTTTAATTTTTACTAACTGAATCATTTGTTTTAGACAATGAACGGTTTTCATTAAATCTAGCGAAGCTGTCGGGTGTTAGTGTGCTTTAGTCACAATATTGACAACAACAGTATATCTTCTGTGGTTTGATTCGTTACAGTGTGTGAGTTTGTGTCATTCAATAAAAGCATTTTCTCTCTTATCTCTGTCCAGGAACACTTTAATTATTACACCATGGATGCTGCCCTGGGCCACTTAGTCTTCTCTATGAAATACGATGTCATCGGGGATCAAGAGCATCTGTGCCTGATGCTTCGGTAACATTCTCTTTTATTTTATCTTTGACCTCTTTTCTCTCCCACTTGTGCTTCTCCACTCTCTGTCCTCCCCTGTGTTTGTCACAACCCTCCTCCTTTGTAATATCCTTTCCAATTATTATTTGCTTTATGCTCCTTTGCCTTTTTATTGTTTCTCCTTTTCTGTATATGACTCAAGCTTGGCTTCAAATCACTGTGAAATCCAGGGCGCTCTCAAACAGAACCAATCCTTATAAGTTATTTTCACACATGAATCGACAGCTTTGTGTTGAATTTTTTTTTGTCTCTGCTGAAGAACGACTTCTCCCAGTCATCATATGTTGTCACTGTGAAAATATTCTGAGCCAGGTTGTACTGCTCTATAGCAACGTGGATGTGTTTTAGTAGCTTTTTATACAATAATATGCAAACATTTATGGTCACTATTGTCTAAATAATACTATAATATACAGTATTTGTTCAAACTAAACTGAACATTAATTTGCCAACATCTGAATGTTGGCAAATTAATGTCCATGGTCTAAGGTCCAACTCTATAATAGGACAGTTTTAAAGGTCCTTTTAACACAATCAGACCACAGCTAAATGCTGTTTCTGCATCACTGGAAAAAGATTCATCTCAACAAATGCAAACAGACACTTTAAAATTCCACTATAATGGGTTTCCACTTCAGAGAATTTTGGCAGCTTTTCCCCGACTGACTGATTAACATAAATCCTCTCTTCCTTGGTACTCTCTGTAGACAGACAGAACCAGTGAGGCGGAACACAATGGCTCACATCACCTGTGTGTTAATGTGAACAGCGGAGAGTCTGGTTTTTGTGTGTTATAATACGACTGCATGGATGACGAGGTGAATGTGTCGCAGAGTAACTCCCACACGAGAGTCTGCCCTTGTTCAGAGCCACTGTTGGACCCCCAGTCCATGTTTGAAGTATCTAGGGAAGTTCTACATCCATCGTCGTAATTTTGTAGTTTAAATGAAAACTATTTTTGTTTATTAGCACAAAAGACACTAACAAAACAAAGGATGTGGTTAGCTACCTCCCTTACCAGAAAGATAAGGAACTTTCTAGTGTCTAGTTTCCATTTACCCACACTTTACTTGCTCGGTGTGAAACCTGGTCCTGTTTAGTCAAACAGAACACTGATATACCAACAGGAATTAAAGAAAGACACAAGAAGATCTTTTTTTTTTAATTCCTAGTTTACATAGCAATCTGCTGCCACCCAGTGGAAGAGTATTTAATTTTACTACTTGCCATGAACAAAGACAAAATATTTTCAGTGACTAAATAATAATTTTCAAATCTATTAATTTAAATGATGTACTTTTCTTGGGCACACTTGATGATCTCTCATGGTGGTTGGGAATCACTGAGAGAGACCATTTCAGTCTGGATGTTTTTTCCAATCAGCACCTTCAGTCTGAGGTGAAACTGCATCCAATCACAGTTGAGTCAGAGCAGAGAAAAGCCAATCACAGGGCCAGTAAACATGTCACCTTCTCAGTGTTGTTTGTCATAGAGCAGAAGAGTCATTTGTGTCACATTTGCAGTCATCACTGTAACCATTTGGTCCGAGAACACCATGTGTCGAGGACATTATTCTCCCGGGTTTTGAAAACTTTTTTTTTTGGAGAGGACAAAAAATTGACTTTTTAAACTTTGCTTTTTCAGCACAAAAATAAAAACCTACCATGACATCATTCCTATTTCCTGCCTTACTGAGTTCCCTAATGTGGTCCAGATGGCCAAGGTAGGCAGCTGTCATCAGCCATATGTTCTTGAACTGTTGACATATTTTAAAAAAAGTAAAACTGAATGCACTGAATTTATATTTCTTTTCACCTCTAGCTTGTGTGTGAAGAAGTCAACGTGGACAGGTTTTACCCAGTCCTTTACCCAAAGGTAGTGAAAACTACAGCATTACCAGATTTACTACAACACCAACAAGACACATGTAAATACTTTGTTTTTTCTTCGCCGCCTCAGGCATCCAGGCTCATCATCGCCTTTGATGAACATGTCATAAACAACAACTTTAAGTTTGGAGTTATTTATCAAAAGTTTGGTCAGGTGAGTGACTTTTACAGATGGAACTCAGAGGTTTTTTTCCTTCTTTAATAACAAGTGTCGTTCAAACTAATCTTCAGACGACAGAGGAGGAGCTCTTTGGAAACATGGAGGAAAGTCCAGCCTTTGTGGAATTCCTGGAGATTCTGGGCCACAAGATTGAGCTCCACGACTTTAAAGGGTTTGGACTCTTTTTTTTTTTTTTTCAATTGTATTTCTTTGAACTGTCACATTGGATTTCACACCTGTGGTTCAGCGGCTTTTTGATTTTCTGCACCTTGATGCTAAGATGAGTTTCGGCTCAAATTTTTAAATTATATTTAATTTATTTACGAGTCCACTCACATTGTATAATGAGATCTACTTTACCCAGGAGGAAATGGGCTTTAGTGTTTTGAGAAAATAAAAGGAATGTCTAGGTTAAGTAATTAGTGTGTAATAATCAATCAGAATGCTTCAGCCCAGATATTTTTTATGTGCTGCACTTTATTTAAACCTGATTATATTCATCAAAGTGGAAGAATGCAGTTGTTTATGATCGTGTGTGGTGTTTTTAATCATCATTGTAAAACGATTGTAATGCTATGTTAATGATAATTAGTTAAAAATCAGTGCTTATTTTTCCATCAATTACTAGACGTATCAGGCGACCCCCTGGTGGAAAGACACTGCAATACTGCATAGCATGCTCAGCCCAGATAAAATATATGTCACACACATGAAATGGCTGTCTCTTTAGACTGATTACATTGATTGACTTACTTTATTTTAACATAACAAAATGACCCTTAAGGTGGTAATGTTGGGATGTTGATTCATTTCTTCCATACTGTTAATCAACTGAAACATATTCAAATGTGTTTACGAGACAACCTCTGAGGAAGACAGGAACTCACCATTCAAACACATCAAGGTAGAACTAGGTCTGGTTGTCTGAATATAAAAAAAAACTTGAAGAATACAACGTCTGGTTTCCATGGTTTGCAGCTGAAGGTTTATAGAAACATTTTTTGTGCAGCAGGATTCTGTCAGAAGACAGTTGTGTCCTCAGCTGATCAGAGTCCGTTATAAACGACTTCCTGAAAAAAGGTTCAGCCTCAAAGGTTCAGAGTGAGTGAGTGAGCAGAGGAAGTGCCCTCGGCATTTGCTCAGTGATGGATGAGCAGGAAGACGCAGGCTGCTCTGAGATCACACACTTTGGTTCTGACAGCACTTTAATTTTCCTCCTCGTGTTTCTCTTTTCTAAGTCCTGGAGTTTTTGGGGGGTTTTCTTTTAACTCATACTCTTGCCTTTTTGGTGAACTCTCTCCTGTCTACTTTTCTCTTCCAGGTTTCGGGGGGGACTGGATGTCACACATGGGCAGACTGGCACAGAATCTATCTACACACATTTCCATAATAAGGAGATCATGTTCCATGTGTCAACCAAGCTGCCGTATACAGAGGGAGACTCACAACAGGTACCAGGACACTGTATTGATTCACCACCAGAATATCTTTTTGGATGAATCCATCCATCCATCCATCCATCCATCCATCCATCCATCCATCCATACCATGTAACACTGGCTGTAAGTGAAGCCCTTTGTTCCCCTGCAGTCAGTATGATTCTATGAGTGAAGTCATCACACACCAAAGCTGACACTTCAGAGATGCAAACATTAGTACTGGAACCCTGACAGAGTCAACTCAGCATAATGTGCCTCCTTTAAGTCGTTTTATGTAATCTAAAGTAATAATATAACATAAAAACTCAGCAGATCCTGGAGGATGTTGTTCCAGCTGTTCCATTACCCTCGTCGAGCATGTTCTCCGAGGTCGAGGCTATAAAGTACAGTGACTGCACGCTGTAAAGAACACAGAACAGACCGGAGTTAATCCCAGAATAAACATTTGAACGGTAAAGAGCAGAGCACTAAGATTTACAGTAGGCGTCGTAAAACCGTCGGTCGTGCCATGAGCACACAGCGGCTCACCTCCGGGGACGACCAACGGCGGCTGCAGCAGCTTCCACTCCACAGCTCAACAGGTGTGACGAGGTCCTGTGAAACGGCTGCTCATAACCATCCATAAACCTCCCTGTGAGTGATGAAGGGTGATCAACCTGTACTGCAGGAGGCTAGAGTGTGACTCAGCCTTAAACCCAAAAAGCAGCATCACCCAAATTCATATTGTTTATTTTTTATTTTAAGAGTTTTTTACTAAGTGGCCAAGTATTTTTTTTTCCTTATTTAATGTCACCAAAGTAATGATGTGGTAACAAAGATTTATATTTCAGGGAAACAGGAAGCAGCTTCTTTTGCTTGATAATTCAGGCCAATTCATATTAATGCAGTAGTTGGATGTCGGCCGCTCTGTCCTCGATGACCTCTATTTACCTTGAAGGACGTTGGCCGCAGGTTTGCAGTATTTTGACAGTTTAAATATCTGTGCTTTTCTGTAGTTTTTAATATTTATGTATTGAACATAAGTACTTGAACCAACAGACAGAAGTCAACATCCATGTATGTATCTATGTCCAATTGTCCACCTTATTGAGGTTATTATTATTATTAGCTTTTTTTCTAAGATGAATTATCAAGTAAAACATAACCAGTTGGAACTTTTTGACTTACAATAATAATTCATGTACTGTCCCTTTCAGGAGAGACCACAGTCAGTCTGTCTCACAGTAAAGCTCAGTGAAGAAAACTGTCTTCATGAAGGTCAGTTGATGGAAAGTCTGTCTGTTGTTCATTTGTGATCCACAGCTGCAGAGGAAACGACACATAGGCAATGACATCGTCGCCATCGTGTTCCAGGAGGAAAACACACCGTTCGTTCCTGACATGATCCAGTCCAACTTCCTGCACGCCTACGTGGTGGTGCAGGTGGAGAACGCCTGCACAGACAATGTCACCTACAAGGTGCGTTCTGAGGAGCGTGGGTTCTATATAAAGACTTGTCTTTGTGACAGTCCAAACGTGTCCCTCTGTGTGACTCCCTGACTCCACGCCAACCTGCTGTCTTCGTCCTCAGGTTTCAGTGACAGCGAGAGATGATGTACCTTTTTTTGGCCCAGCCCTGCCTGACCCTGCCATTTTTAAAAAGGTCAGCAGTCAAACAAATTCCTGAAGGAAATGTCCCTTCACGCTCCTGCATCATGAACCTGCTCCCACTTTGTTACCTTCTCACTGTTAGGGCCCGGAGTTCCGTGAATTCCTTTTCACAAAGCTGATCAATGCAGAGTACGCTTGTTACAAGGCTGAGAAGTTCGCCAAGCTGGAGGTGAGAAGATTTTTTTTCTCTCTGTGTAAAACTTGTGACAAGCGTTTGTGGCTGTGGCACTGACTACTGTAGCAACAGTACAGACAAATGTGTTTACAGTGTGAATGGGTTCATGTGTGTGTGTTTGTGCTTGCATTTATTTACCTCCCTGTTGGATAATATTCACCAACGGTCATTCTTCCTTTATATCCACTCATTCATCGATTCATCCATCCACCAATTTAACCATCCATCCATCTATTTCCTATAATTCCATCAAACCATTCCTCAATCTACCCTTTGTCGATCCATCCTTCCATTGATCCATCCATCTACTCCCATCCATCCACCAATCTACATGTTCTTATATTCTTTCTGTTTTTATCTGCTACAGTAAAACCTTGTCTCTTATTGACTGTCATGTTGTCTCATTCGTTTTTCGGAAACACCTTCATATGCAGTGAATTATTGTGCAGTCAGACCTAATTGTGCTGGTTGTTGTTGTTGTTGCTGTTGTTGTTGTTGTTGTTGTTGCCAGGAGCGCACCCGTTCTGCTCTTCTGGAGACTCTATATGAGGAGCTGCACGTCAACAGCCAGGCCATGATGGGCCTCGGTGGAGATGAAGATAAGCTGGAGAACGGAGGTGGCGGAGGAGGTGGAGGCTTTTTTGAATCCTTTAAGGTACAGCTTTGTTCCTTATCTGCTGAGACATTGGCTGTTAATCCGCAAATGCATTAGTAAGAATGGTGCCGAGTGCCGACCCCCCTCCCTCCTCCTCCCACGCACACACACCCCCGTCCGCACACCCCTTCCTTCCTCCTCCCTGTTCCTTGTCCTGTGTCTTGGCTGGGATTCTGGGTATTCAGATGTTACTAAAATAAAGCTCTGAGATGTTCCCTCATCAACACGGAGCAGTGGTGCAGTGTTTTACCCTCAGTCGTCCACTCTGACCACATCTGACCCCCTGATGGTGTGGCTGTGATGGCCGTTATATTTTTATATAAAAGGCTCTTTGCTCCGACTGAGAGAGTGAGAGCGCCATCAGTGATCTCTGAGGACTGAAGCTCAGCCACTGAGGCTCAGCAGTAGAAGCTGTGATTGTGTGTGTCTGACAAACGGCTTAATGACCCTTCATTAGGACGCTGATGATGCGGTCTGCATGTTTCCCAGTGGACATCGCTCCCCTGCTATTTGTCTGTTCCTTGTGTAACTTTTCAGCAGCCCAGCGAGTGCCTTTAACTGACTAGATCTAAGACTTCACACAGAGAAATGTATTTGATCTTTTTCTCCTACATGAAGACCATCCTATTGCCTCCTTCTGTGCCTCTTATTTGACTCTACAGCACATGAAATCCCACCTTTTCATCCTCTCCGTCTGTAGATTAGTTCCACTTTCTGTCTGTGTTATAATCTGTTCACTGTTCCGTGTGTCCTGTCTCTGACTGAAAACTATCTACAGAATCTGTCCCTTGGAGAAAACTGATTTAGAATTTGACCTGCACTGCCCCTTTGTGTAAAAAAAAAAGATCCATCATAATATGTTAAAAATGCAACTGAAATGGGACCTCGATAAAACCCCACAGGTTCTCATTAAATTGTTTTTATTATGAACGTCTTATATTCAAAGAGCCAAAAAGATTTGGATGGTTTAAAAACTTTAAAATGGGTCGACAAATATTACAGAAGAAACACATCAACATTTCACACTGACGTGAACCTCAACGTGAACCGTAACTTAATGAAGGTTAATCATCCAATAATACACATTTTTTTCTTTTTTTCCTTAATCCAACCCAAAATGTCATTTTAATGAATATCACAGTTGGTATAATTATAGGACCTGCTGGATAGAAGATATTTGCATCTCAAATTATGCCTGGAGCATTAGTGTGACTGATTAAGGGCAGAATGTCAAGACAGTAGCACCTGGAGGCAAGTGTTTAAATCTCCATAAGTTACTGCAGAAGACTGGGAGAAGACAGACTAAACCTTGGATTTCTGCCAAGAATAACTAATAAATGCACTACATAGTAGTAGTATGTGTACCAGGACTAGATGTTAGTATCCCAGATAATCACTGCACCTATGGCAGTTTCCTCCTAGATAGGGTAGGGTGTTTCCTCATGGGCTGGTGGTCTGTCAGTGACCACATTACAGCTGCAGATCAATGAAACCAAATAGGAATTTATCGCAGCTATAAATACATAGTGAGGATGGAATTCACCTGAAAACTGCAGTGTTACTGTCAAGATGTGTAAAAGCACTTCACCAGAGTCCTTGGAGAAAACATCATTTAATCTCTCTCAAATAAAATGCAATTTGGTCCTCATTGGACTGTCACACTGATCAATAACTCCAAATGTGAACTCCAGAACTTCCAAGAACCTGGTTTTTCTTTTTTTTTACAAAGTCCTTGAAGATTCTAGAGAGATCACAGCAAGGCACAACATAAAATTCTGTTTTAAAAATAGATGTGTTTTCTAAATGTTACAGTATGACGATGAGGAAAACATAACAGTAACTGAAAAATCTAAATATTATTTTGAATTAAATTGAATTTTGACTCATTTTCACTTACTGTTTTGCTGTAACAGATTGTGTTTTTTATAAAAACATCACGTCAGAGAGGCTTATAATATAACACATGAAATTTACTTTTTTTAAAAAAACCTGCTGGTGAAAAAGTGAAATAGCAGGCGTTTTGGATTTCCTTCTCACATCAGTGGACCCACTGACCGTATCTCCTCGTCTCTCCCGTAGCGGGTCATCCGCAGCAGAAGCCAGTCAATGGATGCCATGGGCCTCAGTAACAAGAAGTTACACACAGTCTCTACTAGTCACAGTGGCAGCTTTACCCACAATCCCGCAGAGAGCCCCAAAACCCCAGGGATTGTAAGTAGCGCATTTTGGTTCATAACAGAATCTCTACCAAACACATACTGTACATGATCGATCTGGTGTATTTGTAATGACTAATACACATGCAGACTCACCAAGCTCGTTTCACTGGGTAATAAAACAGAGCACGGCTAAGTCAACAAAAAAGGTAACAGTCCAAAGTGTCAGGCGGCCAAGACAAAGTCAAGATGCAGGACCAACAGAGAAACATGATTAATGGGATTTAATCTGCTGACAAAGGTTTTGGCCAGATCAAACCATTTATTGCCAGATTTGATCCATTATTCCCAATAAAAGTCAGCATGCCATCTGCTGGGGTGTAGATGCTGTAATAAAATAAAACGACATTTTAAATATTGGTTTAAAACCTTAACAAGGACATTGTTTTTATTTACTTTGTTGTTTGAATTAATTTATTAGTTCAGTTTTTCTTTAATTTATTGTTTTTAATTGGTATTTAATTGGTATGTTTATTGTTGTCTCAGTGTGTGTTTGTTTCGGTCGGTTTGTGTCGGTGGTCTGTCATGGCTGTTGCCGCCATCGTTCATCGAAAGAGTTTTATTTAAGTTGTTCTTACAGTAATTGGTGTAAAAAATGGTGAAGGTTAGTAAAGGTTAGTGTTGTACTTAAATCTGTAGATTTTGGTGAAGTTGAGTCGTGTTAGTTAAAAAACTAGGCCTAGACAGTTTATAGCCAGCGATGCCGTCACTGTCCTAGGAAAAAGCTAAACCTGTAATTAACTGCAGGCATAGCCAAAATCATCACTGTTTCTGTTGAGTGGCCACCACACTGACCAGCCCAGAGGATCTGGGAACACATGACCATAGACTGGAACCAAACCGTAGTAACCACAGGGATGTAGGTGTTGGTGTGACAGACAGGGAAATGAATCCTCAACCGATTCCTAAGGCTGGTGTTTTCTTCACAGAGTTACTGTTAAAAACCACCTGTGTTTGGTTGAATTTAGGCTTATGTTACTTGGTAAACTAAAGAAAACAAACCATTTGTTTTGAAGAGAACTCAGCACTTTGACTACCCAGACTCCCCTCCTACCTCCTTAATGTGCTTAACACTGTGTGCATGAGAGGCTGACACCACATGCATGAAACACACCACGCTTTTCTTTTAGCATCTTGTTGTTTTTACCTGATGTTTCCCAACAGATGGTACTTTGTCAAGTGCAAATTAATAAAACCAATTTATTTATGATTCTGTTTCCTCTCTTGGGCTGGATGATAAAATAATCCAGCACATATTTTTACTACATATTTCTTTACTAATGCATTGCAGAGATGCTTTTTTAAATGTAATACAGTAATAGCATTTTAACTATGGTTACCTTGAATTTCTTTCCTGCCTACTGAGGCAGAATTTTCTTTCTCATTGCTAAGAATGACCTGTTAATAAAATTCTGAAACTGTTTTTTATTTATGATATTTAACTGGAAGTAGTTTGAAAATCTTTCTAATCTAAATCACCCAGCCCTTGTTTTTGCTTGTTGGATTGTGTCCACTCTCTTCTCCCTCTTCTCCGTTTCCCTATTACATTATTTTGAGTACTTCTGGCCAACCCTCAAAGTTTTCACCTTCCCTTCCACTGCCCCCCAGCTTGCTTTTACCCCCAAATGCCTCCTACTGATGTTATATCCACTGTATTAGACCATGCCGTCAGCTCCTCCCTGAGTTGTTTTGCACCTTGTTCAACTTCTTGGTGTTTTGCTCACGTGATATTATGACATGTTTTTTTTTTGTTTGTTTGTTTTTTTCCCTTTTTCTTCCCTCTTGCTTTATGAATCCATCTCTCTCTCTCTCTCTCTCTCTCTCCCTCCCCCCACCCCCCTCTCCTCCCCCTCCTCTTTGCCTTGTCCTGTCTGGTTCAGTCATTGCTGGTCCCAGGGAAAAGTCCCAGTAAATTTGGACGCCGAGGCAGTGCCATAGGGATAGGAACAATAGAAGAGGTTGATGTACAACTCTCCTGTTTGCTCTTCTTTGTCATGTTGTTTCTGCTTTTTGTTTGTATGGAATGTTCCAATTTTCCATCACAGTAAAATATGTTTAATATATATATATATATATATATATATATAATCAGTTAAATTGACATAATTTTGGTCCCTGTGGTGCCCCATAATGATTTTGTATCATCTCTATATATTGCATTGCCATATTGAGGGGAAATAAAGCTGCAGCTTTTGTTCTGACTTTACAAACTCCGAGCACAATAATATAATTCAGCAGGCAGTGTGTATCGGCATGAGATCAATAGTAAAGCCAGATGATTTCCTTTGTTTATTTCTTTATACTAATCACCGCACAACAAATTTACAAATACATAGACATGCATTATTGTGTTGCAAAAGAGTCTTTGAAAAAAAAAAGAACTTGACAATAGGGTGTGGCTATACTAATATACTAATACTGTAGTTCAGTAACTACTAAAATAAATATTTATCATATTGTTGTCATTCTAAGGAGTATGATGTTTCCCAACATTCAGCTTAAATTTTAGCTCCATTCAAGTGTTGTTTTTTTGTTACTGCTCTGTGAAAAATGGACGTGTTGTCTGACACTTCTCTGTCCTACCACACCCTCAGTCATTGATAATTCCTGGGAAAAGTCCAACGAGGAAGAAGTCGGGGCCTTTCAGCTCCCGCCGCAGCAGCGCCATTGGCATCGAGAACATCCAGGAGGTCCAAGAGAGGAGGTGAGAGAGGAGCAGGAGCTGATCAACAGAGGGAGAGGGGTAGTTGGAACAGATGGAGGCAAAGTCGTTAAAATGAAGAAATGTGGGCGAAAAAGAAAAGAACTGTGCCTCGGAGAAACACATTAGCTAAAGACGAGCATCTGTTGGTTTTTTAGTTTCTGCTCCATCCGTTATTTAAACTGACATATAATTGATTATTGCCACTCTGCTGCCCACAAAGTCAGTATTAAACAGTAGATAGTCAAGGGAAAACGCACACGATAAATGCATTCTATAGGCAGCTTGTTAAACAGTGTGGAAAATAACTGTAATTAATATCATACGAAAAACAACATGAAAACACTTTAAAGGCATGTACCAAAATAAATACTTCACTACTTCACAAATATTGACAGGATACAAAGTAAAAAAAACAATGCTATACATCACATTTTTAGATACTCTACTCCAGATTTATTAATATTACATTACAAAATTATCTTAATACAGATGAAAAAAAATTCAACTGTGACACCTTTAATGTCCACGTCTCTCCTGCAGTCGGGAGGTGTCTCCCTGTGCCCAGAGGACACCCAACAGCAGCCATCTGTCCCAGGAAAACAAATCAGACAACTCGTCCAATCAAAGCTCTCCAGACTTCCCAGCTACAAAGAACAGGTGAGTCCTATTTAAAGATGCTGATGTTGTTGGCAGAGAGGAGCTGTTTGTTTTACATTAGTGACAGTTAGAACTGTTCAGAGACCTCTCTGCCTTCCCAGTTTTCTGGAATGCACCACCATACTATGAATAGACCACAGATTTCAGTCTGAATGTGAATTGTTGTCTGGATAATTCAAGATTGTCCTGCGTCCTCTACACACTCTTGTTAAAGGCACGGTTGTCTGTTAGCCTTAAAATAACGCTTGACCGTGAAATAATGACCACGTGTCAAGCGTACACTGTGTGTGGTGCGTTCAGGGGTCAGAGTGACCCAGTTGTGTAGTTTGGCCATGTGTTACAGGGCTCCATCCATCCCAGAGGCACACGATCTTTCCCGCTCGTCGTCCAACGCCAGCAGCTTCGCCAGTGTTGTGGAGGAGAATGAGCAGGAGGCGGAGGAGGAGTACGACACTGGACTGGTGGGTGGAGGCAGGCTGGTCACATGACAATCGCCATACAGTTGGAGAATATCTTTGAGTCGAACACAAAGAGCCAGTGATTTTGTTTAAGGTTCTATAACCGCTGTTTAATCCTGAAAAGAGTGAAATTTCACGTCCAGTTGCCTAACAGAACACTTCGACGTTGACCATAAACTGGATGACTGGATCTTCATAGACCCAATTAATCATGATTACTCCACAGGCAGCCTGTGATTAATCAAAGTAGTTTTACAGTGTGATGGTCATTTATTTTAATCTTTCACAATCTCCTTATAGATTATAAAACATGAAATGTTATTTAGAACATTCAGAAATAACAAAATTCTATATCTTAAATAAGCCATTTGACATGACCTGCCCATTCATTACATTCATTACAAAGGCATGCCTTTTAAGAATTTGATGTTTCACATTATGCATGTGATGTAATCCCTTTGTCTTCCTGTAGGAAAGCATGTCGTGTCTCACTCCACTGAAGAAAGAGTCGTTTGTGTACAGCTCTGGGCCGGAGGACACCGTGTGCAGTCTGAGCCAGGAAGGTTTTCCAGGTGAGTTCAGAAGAAAATAGCTGCAATTACAGGGTTAGAAATAACCCTGGAGGCAGAGAGAACTCTACAGAAGGTCAGCTGATTCACGTGCAGCGGAAGCCTGGAAAAGAAAAAGAGAAATGCACTTTTGAGCGTTCAAAGACAAAAGTCGGCGTAGCTCTACTCAGCTGTGCGACTGTCTCCGTGGATGATAACCTGTGGTTGTCATCAGTTAAACACTGTTTCTTTGTGTTCTCACAATACTGTTTTTCTCCTTGTGCCTAATGATCCGACTCAAACGTTCACTGTTTCTGGTGTGATAAAAAGTTTCCGCCCAAACAGCTCCCGACTTTATTAGCTTTGAAACATCTTTCCCTGTTTCCCAGCTACTCAACTTCAGCAGACACTGGACGGGGTGAAGACTTCAGAGCCAAAAGGGACAGGCAGCAAGGCCAAGACAGATCGCCCCCTGCAGGAGCAAAGGTTTTCAATGGTAAGACAGAATCTCGTCCTTGAAACACAAAAGGAACCACATATCCAGAAAGGCGCCTCCTGTGGCAGCCTGTCTCACACTGTGAATTTCCCCGTTGTGGGTCAAATAAGGGAGTCAATTATAATAATAATAAAAATTATTATTATTATTATTGTGGTTAACCCCCAATTAACCAGATTCCAAACTTTTGTCATTTGACAGCTCCAGTATTAATGTGATAAAATGTGATATAAAGTAGTTGCGGTGTTTCTACTCCATCTTGTCCTTGTGTAGCTAATGGATTAATGAATATTTGAGGTATTTCATTTGCATGGGTAAAAGTAGAACAGACAGATGGGTTCATGTTTGAAAGGATCATTAATTAAAGACCTAATTTTAAAGTTATTTTTAGCCAGTTCCGTCCTTATGTTGTTGTTGTTGCTGATATTTACTGTTTCTTTCCTCTTTGTGCTTCTGTGCAGAACTGTTAGCCACACCTCATTGATTACGATGTCAACATTAATTTTAAGGTCAGACATGAAAAATTCAACTAATTAACAATATGACACATAAGGACTTTGTACTTTCCTTCCTATAATGCCGTATCATGCTCATATCCTCTCATCTGTTTCAGCATTCCCATGAAAAAGCGTTTGCCAAAAATGAGCCAATGGCATGTGACTGACTGAGCTGCCAGGCACGGGGTCTGATGGATGTCCACCTTCATGAACATGTCCCTTACCCACTGCCCTCATTCCAGCTCCTTGGGAAGAGGGGAACCCTCATGAAAGCTCAAGGCAAAAAGAAGAAAAAAAAAACCCCCAGATGTCCACACTGTTGCAGCTGATCAGGCTGCCCGCTGAGCAGAAGACGTCTGCTCCCTCAGGAGAGATGATTGGGAGACAGGAAAGTTGCAGTACGGAGCAAATGTGTTATATTCAGCCGTCACATCCCGTGGTGACGCTGTACATGGGTATAACGTTGACTGACCAGGTACGTGTGGAGGCAGGTTTCAGTTTTTTCTCTTCCTTTTCTGAGTATTAGAGTATACAGTACTTGATGAATCATGTCGTTTTGGGGTAGTGTACTTTTATGATGCTGCTGTTGGTGGTTGTACCATTTCACTTCAAAAAAAAAGAAGAAAATACCACAGAATATATGTCAGCTGCTCATATAGTTGTTCCACAGTTGCATCTGTAAACACAGTGTGCTGATGCTGTAAATGTGTAGTAAAAATAAAACTGAAGTTTTACTGTACTGCCCCAACCAGCAACACGCCATCCCGACATAGAGCTACTGCTGTGGAGATGTGTACTGTGTCTCACCACCTGTTGGTTTGTCCGTCTGTGGTGTACAGTATGTTGTGCAAAGTGTAAAAATGTGCTCGTCAAAAACCTCCCTCCTCCATCCACCGGTGCCATGCTCTCCTCCTCATTTTTGTTTGTTTTTAAAAAAGAGCCAAATTTCTGCAGGTGCAGTGCACTTTACAGGTGAAATATTCACAACAATCACCGCAGTTATGGACTTTGTTCCTAAAATTTTATTTTTAAAAGTATATGATAGGTACATGAGCGCGGCACTACACTTTAATTTATTCTAATATTTCTGAGCTGTTGTAAAATATTTTTTAAAAATGGTTTTGCTGCTGAATACGAATGACACTGTGACTGGACTAAGTCTTGCCTTGATGATTGTCATGTGAGCTGCTGAGTTGCCAGATCTGGATGACCTGAATGTAAACTATTGGTAAACATGAAGATGTAAGTACTTTACTAATTTCCCAGAGGCCAGTTCTGGTACTGCGTTTAATTACGGAGCACGATGAGTCTGAGCCTGAAACAGCTCACTGTTCTCTTGGCTGAGGTTTTTACTCTGCTATGAAGGAACACACTGACACATGGGACTACTTTATTCCAGTCTGAGAACTAGAACTGATTTGACTTTTATTGTTGATGCTTAAATGATGAAAGTATTTGCCGTTTGACAAAGTGCAAACTTCTAAAAACACTGAACCAAAGCCAAAAAAATCTGAAAAGATGAAGATTGATTATGCATTTGACAAACTTGAAATTTTCTTCCCTTTACACGTGCAGAAATCATTGAGTAGGTCAGGTGTGCCCTCTAGTGGTTATGAGAGATTAAAACATATCACTATGCGATACCTTCCATTTTACTTCTCTAACCCAGTTTCATTCCATTGCCCATCCACACCACCGGACTGGGAGTGATACACTGTGTGATTGGTTTAAATGATTGTAACTGTTCTTGACCTGCTTAAACTCTTGTTCAAAAGATTTGTAAATACTGCTTCACATCCTTTTTTGTAAATGAAACCAATACAAATGTTTATTAAATATGACTATGATAATATCAAAGATTGTGCATTGATTTCTTAGTTACTCACTCAGAATGGTTAACATGAAGACTAACGAAGCAGAAACAAACAAAAAGCGTGATTTTATTTGAGACAGGTCTGTGGCATCTGTTTAAAACTAAAATATTCTGTGAGCTGCTGTTAAATGTGTGAACCTCCGCCCCATCTACTCCTCACATCTTTATGTTCCACCACTTGAATCCAAAGGCCTCCCTGCGAACATTGGAGCCACAATGCACCTCTCCCAACAGCTTGTGGTAGGAGGCAAAGTCGTCGATGAACGTGCAGTTGAGGCCCAGCCCCCCCATCAGGGAGCACATCTCTGCCTCCAGGCTACAACGACCGTTCACTTTTGGTCCAAAGGGTTTTGGAATGCCAAGGTTTTTCCCCAAAACAATCATGTTTACCTACAAAAACATGAGCAGACTGGCATAAGTTCAACCTTGTCATCTAATAGTATTTTATTTTATTTTCCAAATAAAAAATACAAAATCAAATTGAACTAAATATCAAGCACATTTCTCTGGATTCATTGTATCATTTGATTTAAAGAAATAACTAGTCGCTCCAGCGGCCTCCTGTTCCTTTCAAGTTTTCTACCTGTCCAGCAGGAGACAGTCAGCGACAATGATCAAATTTGCTCAGACTAACATGGCCATTTGCCAGAACACTTTCTCATCTTTACATTGGGAACCTACCATGTCAGGGTAGTAAGCCAGAGCCCTGAACACATCCCCATCACCCACCAACTTGAATAAGATTGGAAGGTCAATGATGTCATCATCATCCAGGCCCAGCTCTCTCTTCAGCACATCCCTGTTCCAGTCGATGCAGCTCTGACACATTAAAGAAGAAGATTATTATTTCACATTCTGTAAACACAAACCAAATAAAACACATCACCCAATATTCATGTGCTTGGCAATGTAACGAAAAAGGACAAATGATGGTTTTGAAGGAGGGACCATTTGTTCTACAGTTCACACCTAATATTTGCTCCTCTGCAGTTGTTTTTTGTGTAGATTGGTTTCTTTTCTGACCTTTGGGTGCACAGTACCACTGGAAATTCCGGAGGGCAGTGTTGCACAGTATAGCTCTCATGCACCCATTAAACAGCAAGAAGAAGACAACACCAAAATGGCAGAACCATGGAGCAGAGTTCTTCATCCACATGTATTCAACAGCTGCACCAGACCACCACTGTTCTGCTGCTGTTCTGTCAGGTTTGTCATAAGATACATTTTCAATGATCACATACAGAATTTGGCCACTGAAGATTCACTATGTCGTTTTTTAATCAAAGGAACCTGAACAAATCCTCTAGCTAGCTCCTTCAAAACCAAGGACAACGTTACTGGTTCTGCCAGATTTCATTTCTACGTGGCTAGTTGGCTCAGGGAGGACATGGACAGAGAAACTGTGGGCCTGGGTTCAATCATTGGACTTAGTTCTAATTAATATTGATATTTAATTCTCATTGTCCAGCTGTGAACTATATTTTGTGTGTTTCGCTGCATTGTTCCTCTGCAACAGCTCAGCACACGACCTCCACTTTAGGAAGCACTGATCTGACATCATCATCTTCTCTGTAACTTCACTCACCTGCACGTAGCTGTTTTCAGCCTGGAGTTGTTCATCATCCAGTAATTCATCCACCGTTATCTGAGTTTCCTGTTCCAGGCCTGCATTACAAAGAGTGTAAACAGAATATTCAGAAGTACTCAGAAAGAACTGCCCACTGAAATACACATGGCAAACAAACAGAAGGATCTACCCTCAAATAGTTTTGCTTGTCCATGGCCGTCGTTCTTTAAGCCCCTGAACAGCTTGTAACCTGCATCTGGGCTGGCCAGCAGTAGACGGAAGCCCTGCCAACAAAAGTTAGAGGGGCCATTTTCAATTGTGTACTCCCCCAAACCGAGCATCATCACACATATTCCTGTAGGAGATGGGTTGTTTGTATATGTGATGGGCTAGAAGACAGTGGAAAATAACTTTTTTATAAACAAAAGTCTATTTCAATTAAAAAAGGATTTTGTACTACACTTCAGACCGACACTGTTATCACATTAGACAATATGTGTCTATAGAAATACTGTATATATATATATGTATATATATATAACACCACCAGATGAACAGAAAGTGAGCAGAGCTTTTACACCAACAGTGAGAACATTTTCAGTTCTCCAGCTTTTAGGTAAAGAAAGTTTTAACTTTAATTGAGCAGCACTGTTTCCACTGTTTCAATAAACAAGACTTTCAACAAAAAAGTACTTCAATGAAGTATTAATCTTGATACTGATAGCATAGGTATTGGTCTTGGGTAGTGCCTGGCTGTAATGCAGTTTTTGTTTGATTGTATGTAAGAATTCTACCTTTCTGTCAGGTGCAGGGACAAAAGTCATGAATTCATCAACGTGACCCACAACAAGCCAGTCAGAAAACAAGGCCACAGGTTCCTGAACCTTCTGAGCCCACAGGAAGTCTTGGACTACTTTGGTCATGTTGCGTCCTTTAGTTGCCCTTAAAGGTAAATTCAAGGTAGTGTTAAAGATCCTGTATCTCACATGTTCACTATTGTTTACTATTAAATTCTTGATATCGAACACTCACGTGGGGAAGGCCACTCCAATGATGATCCTGCCCAGTGGGTAGTTCTTTCCATTCACAGTAACAGGAGGACTGACCTCCAGATTACCAAAGGAGTCCAGACTGCTGACGTCCTCTCTCTCTGCCACTCTGGTCACATAACCAAAGTCAGGGCCCTGAAAACACAGAACTTGTTTAGACTGAGTAAATATAAGAACTCAGGCAATTCTTAAAAAGAAAAGAAATCACCAGTATCTCCGCATATGGAAAATCCCGGAGTTTCCCATCACGTGGAGAATCCAGCACCACAGGAAATCCTTGATGGGGTGAGTCAATGTACCCAAACTCCAATTCATCCTGAGGAGAAAACAGTCATGCACATCAAAACAGTACAATATGTTTGTAATCTGAAATCCAAATAAGCCAAAATTCTACATTTAATGTTGGTTTTAAAATTGGTTCTTTGGTTCCTCTGAAATCATACGTTTGCTGTGGAATTTTCTTCGTTTTTCTTGTTAACAGAGCATCTGCACATAGACCTGTCCAGACTTGTCAGTTGTGCTCTTCCCCCAGGACGATCATATTAGTGACACTCTAGTTACATGTTAAACCAGCCAACCTGATGAAAACTATTTAACTTGGTATTTGCCATTCAATACCCTATTTTTTTTTCAAGGACCAAATTTCCACCCAGATCTTGGGAACACTGCAGGTTTTTGTGCATGCACAATTTAAATAGTCCATGATATATGAGAAATGTGTGACTCAAATATTGTGCAAAAGCTAACAACAATAATACCTTACAATATTACGATAACAAAAGCCAAAACTTTTATGCTGAAGGGTAGGTAGACATACCAGAATCCAAAAGTCTACCTCAAAAATAGGTGTGAGGTGTAGGTATAGCTGTATTTGTGGTTGTTTGTGATGTTTTGTGTAATTTGCTTTGTTTTTAGGTCATTCCAGGAAAGAGTTTCAGCTTCACTTTGGAGTTAGGATTAAAATAAGAAGTGGGTTGAGGTTAGAGTAAAAGGTTGGGAGATCCAATCTTTGTGACAGATGGCCAGAAGGACTCCGTATGAAGAATGACTGAGCGTTTAAATGTGAATTAGGAGTTACTGACTGGGGTTACTGAAGAGTTGGGAAGGGGGGAGTTTTCTCACCTGCATCCATCGATCCCCTCTGTTCATGTACTCATGGCAGACCTTAAGCTTGTAGCCGCTGGAATCCACAAGTCTAGTCATGCTCTTCAGAAACTTGTAGTTATCGCGTGTACTGAGAAGACAACCACAAGGAAAATGTGTTTTTTGTACTATTTCTTTTTATTCTGGAATGCAAACTCGTTCGTGTTTTTTGTGTTTTATCAGTATGAAGTTGGAATTCTTCACATTCTTTGGAGTAAATCAGGATAACGAAAAGGTTATGATATTCAAAGTTAAGATTTTATCTCCAAAAAGACTAAGAGTAGATAAAACAGTTGAAGACATTTTTGGATTTTCTTTCACATAGAAAGAAATGAGAGATGCCGTGAGCCAACTGTTGGGATCATGACCTTCATTATTTATAGGTTTTCTCTTACCTGCACACAAACACCTCCACAGGGTTCAGGGTGTTGGGTGTCATGATCCAGGGTGCCACCCTGAACACAACTTTGTCTGTGAAAATGGGCGTCTCTGGGAGACTCTGTCAGAATAAAACAGGACATCGGAGCAACAGTGAAAGACTTACACTTGTTCCACCAAAAGAGAGAGAAAAAAACCGTAGTAGTTTTTCTTTTGTTTTCCTTTTTCATTCTTCTTGAAAAATGAATTTTTTATTATTGTTAATTCCAACTGTACATTCACACCTTTATTTCCATGAAACTGGTTTATTCCACAATCTTAGTTAAAATTTAAAAATTCTAACATGGGTGTGTCACAGTGCTCACTTTGCTGATGGGCTCCAACAGACTGACGTTAATGGTGACCATGCCGTCAAAGTCTTTGTCAAGAAACCTGAGACCCTCCACATAAAATTTCAACTCTCCGTTATTCCCCAGGTAAGGCACTTCCTGTGACAGTACGTCTGTGCTGAGGACCAGGGGGTAGTCCCTCATCAAGAAGTGATAGATGCTGTTTTGTGCTGAAAAAGTGGACATTAACTTGCAGAATTAAATAGAGAAAGAACACGAGAGGTGACCAACGCATACATTCACCAGATGTAGTCTCCATCCATACTCACACAGGATTACGTTGTCTCCTTCACCAGATTTGGCTCTGAAGATTCGGACACTCTCTGCGTCACTCTGGGATATGTGCAGGGTGAGCTTGTAGCCGTCCGGAAGCTTGGCAGGACCTTTGGTCCGCAGTACCATCGGTGACATGTCCTTCAGGTCTGTACATACGTAAACAGTCACAAACGTAAAAGTCTATACTCTCTCTCTGTCTCCCCCTTTGGTACACACAATGAAACGAACAATTTTATATTTAGTTTATCAACTTCTGATGATGCAATCTGTGCTGAAAACACAGTGGACTGGACTCGACTACTACGCCTTAGGATGCTTTGTCAAGTGCAGATACATAAAGTTGTGCCTCCCACATTCTTTCAGACCAAGTTCCTACATGCAATAAGGCTAATGCTTTACATTAGGGGTGAAAATCATTGCAACGCCACACGTGAAAATTCAGTAACAATTCGTACATTTTTAAAAATGATCATTCTTCAAAACTAGAGTAGAAACTGTGTAATAACAGCAGAGACACATTGACCTTGTTTAGTTAAAGAACTAAGAGATGATTAAACAAAAGATTGCAGCAGTCTATCATGTTTCAGCTGAACCGGTTCCTCCACTTCTAAATCATAATTCACATCTATTTTGTCAACAGAATGACGACAATAAACTCAAACAGAAGTCCCCTTTTTATCCCATATTTATCTGATGACTTTTTTTCTCTTCTCTGCTGCACAGACTATTAAAATCACACCAGAGAGACAAAAAGATAGACAAACATTTTACCTGACACTTTAGAGACGTATTTATGCTCGGTGTCTGGTTTCTTCCAGTAAGTCCTCTCAGAATCACAGTTGACCAACAGGATGGCCCCGTGTCCATCTGGACCCCATTTCCATGAGGCCTGAAAAGGTTTCAACCAATCAGTTACCAGCAATAATATTTATTTCCTATTATATTTTTAAACATTTAGAAAAATATAATCAAACTTGACATCAGGGTCTTGAACAAACATCGACAAAGTCAACAATTAATGGTGATACTGATGGTAAGGAAAGAAATAGTCAAGTTTGTTTATTGTGTGAAAGAAAAGTACTATTTACATCATGACAAGTGTAACAGTTTAAGTAGCTGAAACATTCTAACTAACCAGAAAAGCTTTCCCTCTTAAAACACATTGAATTCCAAAGAAGCAACAAAATCACAAACTGCAATCGTGGGTTGCAACAAATCACCTTTTTCGGGTTGTTTTTCTCCACGACTCCATCTCTGTCAGCATCCACGTCAAGAGAGACCTCTGTGGCAGAGAAATAAAAAGGTGCACAAATAGTGGCCCAGTTCACATCCAGCCCATGGGCCACCTATTTGACAACTGCGTGCCACCTGTTCCTAGACAACGAGCTAAATGTAAGGAGGCTGTTTTCCTGTCTTACATTGTGTGTTTGGTTTGGTCAGTGCAAGAGCTGATGGAAAGCATTGTGTGTTTGGTTTGGTCAGTGCAAGGGCTGATGGAAAGCATACGATGGGCTATCATCGCCATGGCAACAATGCCTTGATAGGCTGTCAGCGAGAACAGCACTTTAGTTTGGCTTTTGAAGCGTTGTTTTTTGATTCTTTTCCAGCAGGAGAATTATGTTTTTGTATTTTTATAACATTTGGTATGAAATAGTATGACCTGTGTCTTGTGACCATATACCAATACCACAGTCCCTCGCTAGTTTGCGGTTCATCTTTCACGGATTCACAACTTTGCGGGTATTTGAAAACTGTATATATAAAATATACTGTCGTGGGCAGTTTTTGCAGCCTCGCAAAAAAGAGCCAGTTCCTGCTACTACAGATACACCTTCGGAAACCGTGGAAGAGGGGGCCCAAGAAATGGCACCACCCTCTGAAGAGACACAAAATCAATCAATGGCTGCGCAGTAAAAGTGATCATCACCGCGGAAATTCAGTTCTTGCGACAGGCCTTGGAACCTATCTACCGCGATAGACGAGGGACCACTGTACCTTTGACTCACTGATGGGTGTGACTACATTATGCCATCACATCCACATATATGGCATGAGTTCCCCTGCTTCACTGTAGTTAGCTTATGGACATTTATATGCAATGAGTGGTCACTTTGAGGATGGAGGAAAGAAAGGACTTGGCGTTCAAACATGTAGCATTACATTGAATTTCTTAATAAAAAAATGCAACAATTTATCTTTATAACATTTGGACATACCAACAGCAGTCAGGTAAAGACCAGCTCTGCCCAGGACCTCCTTGTCTTCTCCGTAGTATCTAAGTGACAGCTAATAATGAAAATAAACAACAGTTATTTACCTTCTCGAGAAAAGATACAGACATTTGTGTTATTTGTAAAATAAACAGAAAAGCTTCATGGATTCAGGAAAATAATCTTAATTACTCACAACCGTTTTTGCATTTTCTCAAAACAAAACTAATATCCTGCACATACTGAAATAAACTTTCAAAAAAACTACAACTTTTCAGGGCTACAGTAAAAGAGTGGTTACTGCAAACGTTTTGTGAAGTGACCTTTTGTCGACAGAAATACTGTCTAATTTATTTTTAATACTGTATTTTTTTTTTCATCAGAGTACTTTATTTAAAAGAGATCCATACTTAACCTAATGTGTGCATGGTTTTTATTCTGGAACTTTTCCTCCCACAGTTCAAAAACATGTAGATTGGGAGTTTGGTTGATGGACACTATTAGTATTGGATTGGTGTGAATGTGGGTGTGAATGCTTGTTGGGTGTAGCCCAGACTCCAGCTTCCTCTTCCACCCTACCATTACTGAATGGTGGAATGTGAATCGATGTATAGTTTCTGCTTTACCTTGCTGTCATTTTCAAACTCGCTTGCGTGTTTCATGGTGATGAGGAGCACAGTGTTGTCTTTGAGAGGAATGGGAGAGTGATGGTTTGAGTCCTGGGGTGACGGCACGATGGTGTACTGAACAGTGGGGGTGCACTTCACTGAGAAGAATTTGCATTTGGGAGGGGCACTCCTGGAACACAAATGAATGAGAAGTTTTTGCATGTGGGTGTCGTAATCATATTACGCACACACACACACACACACACGTGTGTTCTAACCCATTGTTTTTTCCTTATCTATCACAAATATATGACTAATCTTAATCCTTATCTAATCTGACCCAGGTCCTGTTCCTAACTTCAAACTAAAAATTTAACCTCCCAATACCCTCTCACTCAACGATAGTTTTCAAAACAAATGTCAGGAACGAACACATACCTTGTTTTAAAAAATCCTGTTTCTCTGCAGATATCTTTAGTTAGTGATCTCGTAGATACATTTATCAAAATGTTTTGGCAAAACTGTGAGTAAGACATGATTTTTAGTTCAGCATTTTCTAGGCCCTTGTGAAAAATCAAAGATAAAAACAAACGCACCTATTTTTCACTCTACACGCAGTCATTTTTTTTTTACATCAAATCATTGTGTTTGAGAGACCAAGTTTTTTTGTTTTTGCGATGCTCATAAACATCCCTGATGTAAACACCATCTAGCACTGACTTGTAATAGCATAGTGCATGTGTGTAATTTTAGACCAAGCTAAATAAGACGTCAAAGTATGTCACGATAGTGATTCAGATGTCACTGTGTAAGAACAGGAGACTTTCAGTAGACTTTCAGAACACACGCTGTTAAAATGGAAATGAGAAAAGTTCTCCTGAGGCTATACATGAATACGAACAAACGCTGCAGCCGAATAATAATGACTGTTATGCTGCTATTACTGTTACTCTCCCTGTATCAGTATCATTCTTGCTCAGTTCTAGGTTCTCCATATGTCATGTACATTTTGCTGTATCACTCGTTTATTGACAACTTTTGACAATGGAACCATTGTCAGCACAAAGTGGTGTCAATATTTAACCATAACAGCTAATATATTTGTTTTTAGAAGTGTAAAAGTTAATATTTCACTAACTTATTCACTTACTAACGTTTAGGTATTAGGTGATTTCCTTGTGGGATGGATATGAGATATCAAAAACGACTACAGCAGTGATAACGTAACTCGACTTCTTTATTCCAAATAATTCTCATGAGTCAGTGCCATATGCCTGCCTCCTACACACAGTCGACTTCTGACTAGGCTAGTATTTGGGCGACGTGGCCATAAAGCCTACACTTATGCTGCGACAAAGTCCCATCTGTTGACAACAAGAACAGAGACCTGTTGATCCGCTCCTTCCGCCTCCACCACCAGGATTTGCACACAAACGACTTGAGTTAGAATAAATACTGGACAGTGCAATTTCAATGTTGTCCTGAAAACATCCAAAATTCCCAAACAGAACAAATGTACGCAGAGGAATTACAGGTATTTTAATAAGACTGATGAGGGTGTGTGACTGCAATACTACTGATAAATTAATGAATGAATACAGCTTCCAGCTGAGGTTCCGTTCTTACCTGTCCAGGTTGACATTAATTTCAGACCCCACCACGTACACGACACCCACATTTTTATTATAATCCAATCGGAGTGTCCTGTTATGAATCATGGCTGTAGTTTTTCCAGGGGTCACACCGGTGCAATGGCACAAATAACCCGCTGATTGTCCCGATACCAGTTGTGAACAGCTTCTAAACCGCGCAAGTGTTTATGAAGACTGGAGCCTGTGCTGGTCTGAGATCTCCGTCCGATGATTGGTCAGAAAAACTGCCCTCCCACTGCAAACGCATGTCATTCTTATCTTTGTCTGTTGTCTGGCTCTTTGTTTACATTGTTCTCCGAAGCAAAGACTTTTAAGGAACATTTTTTTTAAAAGTTATTATTGTCATAAAAATATAATATTTAAACAATAGAGGAAGAATAAGCATAAAGTAGTGCTTTTCAAAAAAACGTTAGCATTAGACATTTTATTTTATTGTTATTTTAAATTATTAATAAAAATAATGTATATGATTTACTTTTATTATATTTATAAAGAAATGTGTAATATTTGTAATTTTAATACCATAAATGTAGAATTAGAATAGCTCGCTGTGAATAAATGCAAAATAGACAGTGCCCCCTAGAGTTGGCAACTATGCATTAAATTCACAAGTATTTAGGAACGTGTGCATTTGATTGCTAGATTTAAAATAAAATGTCTACTTTGCAATAACGCTCGGTTGTGTTTTTTCATTATGCCATTATTATTTAGCAAATAAAAAGCTTTTTATTACAGTAAATGCCATTGCAGTTGTTCGCTGTGGAAAAAATGTCTGACAGAAGTGAACGTACTGGGTATTTCTGAGTGTTAGTCAATATAGCTGCTCATATTTGTGTCAAACTTGTTACATGGTGGTTAAAGTGTTGTTTTCTTCTCCTGACCGAGCTGATTAAACTGATTGTTTATAAAATATGTACCTGTTCAGAGTGACCCTCAGAGCCGTCCCAACTACATGGAGAACCCGATGCGAAAACCCCAGGTCCAGGCGGTGTGTTCGCTGGTATCCCACAGTTTCACTTTTGCGTTTGTGCAGAAAAGCAGGGACGGTGGACTGTGAGGTTTCCTGGAACATGACTGGTCAGGAAATCGAGTAATTTCTGCAAGCGTATGATCTAAAGAGAGACAAGAGACTACGAGCTTTCAGACAGAGACCGGACAGAATTATCCAGGTGTCTCTAACATGTCTAGGTGAGGTTTTTCTGGAAGGCATCCCACATCCAGAGGTGTGGCCTAAACTTCCACACACACCGCAGGAGCATGGTGAGAATTACGCCTGTGTAATTAAGAGATAGTGCCTTCAATTTCTTCTTCTTGTTTTCTTACTCTTCTTTTATTCTCTTTCTTCTTGTTTTTCTAATCATTACTGTTGTTATGTTATTATTAAATAGAATGTTATTGTATAATAACATGTTGTAATGTGTTATGGCAGGATTCAAGGTTTATTGCTGTGAATAGACCATTATATTATTTTTTCACCTTATGTTAAAGTAATGTCCTTCCTTTCCTTTTTTCCTTTCCTTATATACATAGTGACTGCGATTTGTTTGCATAGGAAAGAACTTGACACAATTGTACACATTATTTCGACCATGTTTATTGTTTAATGTTATCTACAAAAAGTTGAAAGAAAAGCAAATACCAAAATTGCAAAAAATATGAGATAGAAATTTCAACTAAAATGGAACATAGACAAACATAAAAGAATAAAATAATTTCTCGTTTTGTAGAAAACGTTGCTCTCAAAAGTGGACCATCGGAAACGGAGCCAATTAAATCACCGTTATACTTTGACAGGCTTAAACATCGGCCAATGGAATCCCCGTAAACATACGAGAGAGAGGCGGGGTTTAGGTTGCTCCTAAGACCCTCAACTCAAGGCGCTTTGTTGTTCCTCCAAGACAGAAAGACGGGTGAAAATCGTGTATTACTTAAAAAACGGTGAAAGTAGAGACATTACAACGCATGGACATTTCCCCTGATAACCGGCCAAACGTGGAGGTGAGCCGCTGTCATTTGGTAGGAAGTTGTGTATTTGTGGAACTGAAGAAGCTGAGCAGCGTTAGCCTCTGCTGATCCAGATTGCAGCGGAAGGAATTCTGGCTCTGTGAAGGCAAGGAATCAACTGGGATGCCTCGCGCAAGTTGGATTAAACTGTATTTTACAGGTGCGCCTGTAACCAACTAAATAACTATGGGTTTGTGTCCTCTTTAACTGAAATCGAAGTGTAAACCCAGTTATTTGGTTGCTGTGTGGTCGTTTTCGCTTCAGTTTAGCGAGTTAGCCACGTAGCCTTCAGTAGGGAGACATTTAAAATGGCGGAGGGCTGTCCCACTCCTCTGGCCTTAGTCTTCATGCTGTTCGCTTTTAGTGCCTGGGCCCTGGACTTTTGTCCGGGACCTTGTTCCTGTACTTATGGACAAGATGATGCCCTTATCTTAGACTGCAACTGGAAGAGGATGTCGACCCCTACACTGGACCCACCGGCTGGGATAACCCAAGTGTAAGTACACAAACCCGCCTGACCGTCATCCACTGATGTTCGTCCTGCACTTAATTGACTACACTGATTTGTTACTAAACCAAGATGAAGACTAAAACAAAACAATAAGTTCCTCCACTCCGCACTTTTTAATGGGTTATGTTCTCTCTTGTATTTTTTGTTTATCTAACACCTATTATATCTATAATGATAATCTAATACAAAGAAAAAATATAAATATTTTTGCCCGATTGGAGTAAGTTTTAATCTAATTTGTGTCATTTGAAAGTTTATTGTGATGTTGTTTATGATATTTAAGGGCACTCTTTTATTTAATATATTTATGTATTTTTCATGTGGTTTGATGACAACTCTTGTACAATGAATAAACAAATTTGTTTGTTTCATAATTCATATAAAGTAACGTTTTGGGTATACAAACATTGTTTATAATTTCGCAGGGATCATGACCAATATTTTTCTCTCTCTACCTTTGGACTACATACATACAGTTTAGAGCCATAACATATTACCTCTAATTTACCATCATGTTAGAAGTAATGTATGTATATATGTAGTATATATTCATGTGATTCTAAATGATGTATTCACTATATATATATTCTTTTAAAGCAAAGCATCGTGTATTTTGTTTTACTAAAAACAGATTGGATTTAAAAATTCTAAAGTTTATGATCAGTTCAATAGGCTGTCTATTATTTGGCAGGTGGTCCCACCTGAAAAAGGACAGCAAAGTAGTGTTTAAGATTTATGATTCATTAGAGCAATGGTTCTTAAAATTGTCACCAGCAACCTATGTTGTAGATTGCTTAAAATATCCACTGCACTCCAAATCAGTGCATGTCACCACTGACAAATGAAGAACATACAGAAATTGAAATTAATTTGTCTCGCTGAACCCCAACCTGCAGTAACCGTGTGGGCTTTGTCTGAGCAAATGCACAAAATTTGAAAAAATGTTTTCAGCATCTGCTGTAATCTCATGTTTTGAAATATTGAGACATTGTCCAAATATTTTGATATCTGAATGTTTGTTAAATACTCAATTAATATTTTTTTTAATTTAATCTCAGCACCATGAATCACAATGATCTGACAGCCCTTCCATCCCTTGGAGATGTTTCTGCAAACATCACTTCAATATCATTGTAAGTATTTCATCTCCTTGAGTTGTTTGTTTTTTGTGCTAAGTACCCAAAACAAATGTATTTGTCTATACGAGGAGACCATCCAAGTGTCTCACCATAGTAAGATGTGTGATTGTAAAGACCAATATGTTTGTTTGTTTCTTTATCCAGAGTCCACAACCGGATCTCAGAACTATCAATGTTTCACCTGCAGCCTTATATTTCATTGGAGACACTGGACCTTACATCCAACTCCATCACTGAGATCAAAGTTGGATCCTTTCCCAATATACAGCTGAAATATCTGTAAGAAAACACTGCTCATTTAAATCATTTCACTCTAATCAATAATTGTGAGGACATTTAATTTAAAGGGGATTTTGTATTGTTTGGGTTTTTGCCTGGAGTGTTGTTAAACCAGCCAAAATAGAAGGATAAGAACAAAAAAAATCAATGTCATTCATTAAATATTTAAGATAAAGAACCACAGTAACATGAAGTTTATGTATTTTCTGTTGGCACACACATATAGTTGTCATATGGTCTTTGGCACAGACCTAACCTTGAATACTTTTAGTCACAAAAACAGTAAACATTCTACTGGGTTATTTAGGGCCTAATATTTCCCCCTCCTTTATCTCATAGGAATTTAAGTAATAACAAAATCAGTGTCCTGGAACCTGGTTGCTTTGAAAACATCTCCAGCACCCTGCTGGTGTTGAAGCTGAACAAAAACAGATTGGTGACGCTTTCTTCCAAAGTCTTCAGACTTCCCCAGCTGCAGTCCCTGTAAGTATTTTCTGATCACCAATCTAAAAGTCTTGATCCATGAGTGATGCTGTTAATAATTGGTAGAGAGATCTGTACACATCATGAAAATGTTTTTGGCACTGTACTCTAGTGAATTGAAGCGGAACAAGATTAAGATAGTTGAGAGCCTTACGTTCAAGGGTATGGACTCCCTAAAGATACTGAAGATGCAGAGGAACAGTATCACCAAGCTCATGGATGGAGCCTTCTTTGGACTTACCAATATCGAAGAACTGTGAGTACAGAGCTTTTTGTAACATTCACTTGTGGTGTTTACACCCCAACACAAGTCTCTGGTATATAATAGTTTATTAATAAAATGATTTGTTAATGATGTTTTGTTTCTTTTGTCTGTGTTTCAGGGAGCTGGAGCACAACAACCTAACAGAGGTCAACAAAGGTTGGCTGTATGGTCTGCGCATGCTGCGTATCCTGAGGGTCAGCCAGAATGCCATTTCCATCATCCGTCCAGATGCCTGGGAGTTTTGCCAAAAGCTAGAAGAACTGTGAGTGTCTTAGCATCAAGTCTAAAAATCCCCCAAAGTCTCCCTGTTTCTTCCTCACCCCTCAAGCTGTAAATTTCATCCTATGTGCTAAAATGGTCATGGGCTCCAGGAGCGTTTTTCATTGTTCTGCATCGTTCTGCTCCCCTCCCCAGTTTCACTGTCATTCTGAAAATGAAAAAAATACATAAACTGAGACTCTTTTTTTGTTTTGCACAGAGACTTGTCCTTTAATCGTTTGACAAGACTTGAAGAGACCGCTTTTGTAGGCCTAAGTTTTCTGGAGAGCCTGAACCTGGAAGAAAACTCTATCAGCCACTTAGGAGAAGGAGTGTTTGGTGGCCTTTCAAGTCTGCAAACCCTGTAAGTGCTTTTTGAACTATTTGTCCTCTGCTTAATGTAAACCGTGCCATGACTTGTTCTTGACTCGTGGACTACAGCAGGATTATATGACTTTTCATAATTAGTTGTAGCACAGTCTAGGTCTCCTTTACTGATGATTCTGAGGATATATAAATCCTGCTTTCCCAGAAAATCATGGAATCATTACACAACAAGTAGAGGCTTTTGATTTCTGTCTGTTGTGTCACAGCAGGAGCAAGCCCAGCCATCCTGCCTGAACTTGAAGTGAGCCTTTCTACTTGTGGAAATCCACAATTTTTAGCAGAAAAAAAATCAAAGGCTTTCCTATCCAGTGCTGTTGCAATTATTGCAAAACTGTGACTATACTGTCTTGTCACACCCACCACAGAGTCAGGTTTATTGCAGTATCGTGGCCGTGCTCATTGAATCACATTGATGAATTGCTTGCTCCTTAATGCATTTTCCTGTGCTTCTCCATGACAGTTGGCATGGATGCTCCATGCATTTTTTTATGCATTTAAAAAAAAAAAAGATTTTTCTATCTCTGTCACTTACTGATGTCAGCTCAGCTGCTGGGAAAGCTGGTGATGGGTTAAAAGCAGAGGTCACATTTGGTTGTGTGCAGTGGTGTGCTGTGTCACAAGTAGTTCACTTTCCTTCCTTCCTTCCTTATTTTACAGCGACATCCGCAACAATGACATCTCCTGGGCCATTGAAGACTCCATTGGTGTATTTAATGGAATGAAAAAGCTGAACACGCTGTAAGAACAAACATTGATGTTAGACTTTTATTTGATTGTGAAAAGTAATGCATGCAATTGTTTCTTTTTATAGAGCAGTTTATTGACAAGATAAAACTTTTTTTGTTGGTTTGATTACTGTCTTCATTTCATTATTAATATCATTTGATATGCTCCAAGTTACCTTGGTAAAGTGTTGGTCACATATTTCATGCTAGACTTTTTGAAAACGTCCGACACACTAGTTCCATTGTTTAGTAAATGCTACGTAAACATATCCAATGAAATCTGCACTTCCAGGATCCTTCAGCAGAACAAAATTAAATCAATCACCAAGAAAGCCTTTGAAGGACTGGATGAACTAGAGAATCTGTGAGTCCACATGAACATTTACCCTAACAGCCAGACTAGGGTTTTCATCAAATCCCACAGTAGCCGTAGCAGTGTCTAATCTGTATTTGCATCCCTTTGCAGGGACCTCAGCAGAAACGGCATCATGTCCATTCACCCAGACGCATTGTCGCACCTGAAACTCAAAACATTGTGAGTAAAACATAAAATGAATCTTAAAGCAAAGACTTTTGAAATCACTTCTGTCTGTGTTTATAGTCTGTGATTCATCACTGAGTTTTTCCCTGTTATCTTAGAATAAAATTCCAAACACTGAAATGTGACAAGTTGATCCACTGTAGCTTTTCTTTAGTTCAAGACTAGGAAAACAAATGAGTCAGTAGGTGCATTAAGAGGCTTGGATAAAATAACAGATACCTGATTTGCAGCAACACATGCTTCGTTAGAACATCTGTCTCCTGACAGTGGGTGTGGAAATCTTCATTCTCTTACTGAGTTTAATCAGCTCGTCTTAGTCGGGGCTTTCAAGCAGTAAGCGGAAATCAAATTACAGTTGACAGCAACAGCTGTCAAAACCACATAAAATTGGTTGTTAAAATTATTTTGTTATTTAATTATTATCTTTTATTGAATGAAAGTATTTGTCTGGCAAGGTAGGGCATTTGTGTACCCAGCGTCTTTGTCAATGCAGCAGTAAAGTAATGCCCATCTGATTGAAGTATAATTTAACACGAAATGTCTTATTATGGCAAAGACTACACTTTTTAATCTCATTTTTGTATAGTGTCAGATTTACTCAAAAACCTTTTATAATCCTGCTCTATTGCGACATTAATTACATAGTTACTTTTTTAATTCGTAAAGTGTCATCAAATGTTGAGGTAAAGTTTATGAATTTATTATTATTTTTTGTTTTTAACATAATTTAATGGGATGTTCTACATGACTGAATGTCTGCCATTACGTTTTCTGTCCTCAGTGTCCTGAACACCAGCAGCTTACTCTGTGACTGCCACATGCAGTGGCTGGGTCCCTGGTTGTCTCAGAGTCTTTTTCAACCATCTGTATCTGCCGTCTGTGCTCATCCTGCAAATCTTCTCGGCCGAAGTGTCCTGACAGTCGGCGCAGAGGAGTTTGTTTGTGGTAAGTCTTTTGTTTTGTTTTTTGTATTGCTACCATTCAGGTTTTTTTGTGTTTGAAGCCATATTTCTCAAAAAATGTATTCAGCATGTATAGACATATACGACCTGGTCAAAGATAGGAAGTTCTTAATGCAAAACACAAATACAGTATCTTAGTTAGTACAGAATGTCCGCAACACTACATATTAACCATTGGAGTCATTTTAATGATGGCAGTAGTCAGTCGTTTTTTTAACACAGTCAGGCTGATATCAGTTGATAGTTCAGAGCCAATGAAAGGAAATGTGGTTTGGAGCCACAGGTTGCAGACCCCTGATGATTTACTTGCAGATTTACAGAGAAAAAAAAAGGTTTGTATGATGAAATTACAAATGTCTTACATCTTGACAGATGATTTCCCCAAGCCTCATATCACAACTCACCCTGAGACCACCGTGGCGCTGAGGGGGAACAATGTGACTCTGATCTGCGTTGCCTATAGTAGCAGTGATTTGCAAATGACCCCAGCTTGGCGGAAGGACGGAGAAGTTCTACATGACCCTGAATTGCAGAATTATGCCCAGTATCAGGAGGGAGAGCTCATCTACACCACCATGCTTCACCTTCTCAATGTCAACTTCACTGATGAAGGCCGTTACCAGTGTGTGGTCTCCAATCACTTTGGCTCCGACTACTCCAACAGAGCCAAACTTACAGTCAATGGTTTGTCTGTTTTTTCATATTAAATCTATTTTTTTTTCTTTGTTTATTTGGGGGTTTTTTAACCTCTTTCGCCAACAAATTGCAGCATTGTTGTAAAGAATTAGAAATTCTATATTTTCTTGTGATTTTATTCCCAATCGGTTCAATTATTGGTCCTACCCTTTCAGAGATGCCGTCATTTCTCAAGACTCCCATGGACCTGACAATTCGAACCGGGACAATGGCCAGACTGGAGTGTGCTGCTGAAGGTCATCCATCACCCCAGATTGCATGGCAGAAGGATGGAGGCACCGATTTCCCTGCTGCCCGAGAGCGAAGGATGCACGTGATGCCCGACGATGACATTTTCTTCATCGCTAATGTAAAGACAGAGGACATGGGGGTCTACAGTTGTACAGCTCAAAACACAGCTGGCAGCCTTTCTGCAAACGCTACTCTGACTGTTCTGGGTGAGTCATTGTGTAAATTACAATGGATATTATGAATGTTTACAAATGAGTCACTACTCTAAAAGGCATCTATTTAGCCTCATTACATACTCATGTTTCCTTGTTATGAACCTGACATTATAAATAAAAGATTTGTCTTGCAAATGTCAAAGAGCCCTTGTTTGTGGCATTATAGTATTGTGCACCTTACAATTTATTTAATAAATGAGTTGGTTTACTGTAAAAGTGTTAACTGCTAGTTTGCTGGTTGCTAGATTACAAATATTTACAAAACTGTGAGACAACAAAAACATCGAGTTTGTCTATATGCATTTAAAAAATGTCCAACTCTTGTTTTTTCTAGAAACTCCAATGTTTGTACGGCCACTAGAGGACAGAATTGTGGCCCATGGGGAAACGGCTGTCCTCCAGTGTATAGCAGGAGGAAGCCCCGCCCCCAGGCTCAACTGGACCAAGGATGATGGACCATTGATACTAACAGAACGCCACTTCTTTGCTGCCGCCAACCAGCTCCTTATCATAGTGGATGCCGGTCCTTCTGATGCGGGAAAGTACACATGCATAATGTCTAACACTCTCGGCACAGAGCGTGGCCACATCTACCTCGGTGTCTCGCCGTCACCAAACTGTGAAACCGCAGCAGGACACGATCAGGACGGCTGGACCACAGTGGGAATCGTGGTGATCGTGGTGGTGTGTTGTGTGGTGGGAACCTCGCTGGTTTGGGTCATTGTCATATATCACATGCGCAGAAAGAGTGAGGACTACAGTATCACCAACACAGGTCAGACAATAGAGACATGTCATTGTCTCTGTCCTTGCTAAAGAGTGGTCCATTAGTGGTGCCTTTTTTGAATTTTTCTTTGGGGACAGGGGTTTGATGTAAAAACACTCAACCTTAAAATTTAATTTATCTGCCTGTCTGTTTCAGATGAAATGAATTTACCAGCAGACATCCCCAGCTACCTGTCCTCCCAGGGAACGCTGTCAGAGCCCCAGGAGGGCTACAGTAACTCGGAGGCTGGCAGCCACCAGCAGCTCATGCCTCCTCTCTCCAATGGATACGTCCATAAAGGAACAGATGGTGAGTAATGCTGGGTTAATTTTTTATCAGTTAAAATATATTAGACATCTTAACATCATAATACCATCATTTTTCTAAAGCTGAGGAAATACTGCATCAGTAAAGGGGCGTCCAGCTGAGGAAATACTGCATCAGTAAAGGTGTAAAAAGTGTAAAAACTGATATTATTCATGGGGATTGTTTCTGTAGTGACACTAGAATAAGGCTGTGCAATTTATTTAATTGAGATTTTGACTCCAATACGAACCAGAAGTTTGAATAAATACTTAGTAGCTATTAGTTATGTGCATAGGATCTTTCAGTATGTTGTGGCAGAGCACTGAAATGTATAAGTAAATAACTATTTTTCTGGTAACTGGTAATATTACTACTTATAATTTATTATCAGTGTCTTATTCATCTTTTATGTTCTAATGTATATATTTTTATATATATGTTATTATTTAGTATTTGTTTGTCAAGAGATTCTGGTAGTAGCCTATATAATTTATTTTATGTTTTATGTGTGTATAGTTTTTTCGCAATATTTGGAGGTAAATAATGGAAAAGGAGAATATTATATTTACTGTTCATTATGTTAAATGAATACAAGGTGTTTTTGGAGTTTATGAGTAATCAAGTAAAAAAAATATTGATTTCAGTGTAAAAAAAATTTGATTATGATTTTTTTTAACATGCAAGAAGCAAATAAAAAAAATGTTACACTGAACACATACATCCCCATACAGTCAGGTGAAAAAAGGTCAATCAGCTGAAGAATAAGATTGATCGTGTCCATTATGTTGTATCTGTTTCATTTCACTGTTATGAATCAAACCCTGACTGATTATCATGAATGTGTCAGGTGTATGTTACGGAGAAATGAGCAGTGAGGTGGAGACGGAAGGGAACGGCATGCTGCATTGTAGAGTCGGTTCTCTGTTCACCGGTCGGAGCAGTTTCCAGCCTGGGGAGACACGAGAGGGACTGACTGGAGTCCCTGCAGGTGATGATGCTTAGTCATATGATTTCCACACCATCACTCTGAGGCAGTTTTGACTTAGCAGTTGTTGTGTAAATTAATTATTTCCTCAGAGGAATAAGGTTTGTGGCAGCCTGTCACACCTTCTCCTGCTTCATTTGTTTTCTGAGTCAGAGAAATTATTATTTTTAATCGGGTAAATACTGTAATTGAATGTTTTTTGTTGAATTTTTTTTTTAAATACCAGAAAATATAAAAGTAAAAATATTATGGTATCATTGAAAAGGTTGAAAAGATTAAAGTCACAGTATTGAAAACCATTATTAAGTCAGTGGTGACTAAATCTTTAAAAAAAATTACTTTGATAACCAGCTAATGTTGTTTAACATGTTTTATATTAAAAAAGTTAACATAAGTGCATACACACATTGATATAATGCAGTTACAAATTTTGAGCTATATCTGGAACATTGAGTCCACGTGGCCACAGGTGCTCTACAGTTAGTAGGTGAATAACTTCCCTTTTATTTCCCAGGTGGCCCTGGTTCACTTGTCATCTGCTCCGACTGCTACGACAACGCTAACATCTACTCCCGCACACGCGAGTACTGCCCATATGCCTACATTGGAGAGGATGACCCGCTGGACAAAGCACTTTCAGGCCAGAAGGAGACTTTCAGTGAACACTCCCAGCACATGGACACAGCACTGGAGAGTCTCCTTAACAACCAGCACCCCTCCGTCTTTCTCAACTCACATGACAAATCTCTGAACAGTCACACTCCACTGGAGCACCATCCTAATGGTGAGTAACAGAACATGTACCTGTGTGTAGACGGACTGAGTTCTTAGGTTAACTTGGTGGTTGTGCCCTCCTTTTATAAATAGGACTGTTGTCTGACTATTGTTTAAAGGTTCAAATAAGAGAGGATGCAATCTGTGAGGACTTTAAAGCAGACCAAACATTTCCGAATGCACCCCTTAAATGAACTGACTATAAAATAAATTTTTGTTTGCAAATGAAAGTGTGTTCTAACCTTGTGCCGTTGTCCTTGCAGATTTCCTCGGTAGAGCATTCTGGGGAGAAGAAGATCTGTCTTCGAAAGGTCGGTCAGGAACGTCCCGACATCCAGTGACTGTTCACAGGACACCTGCTCCGACTTCCACTGCAGATGGAACAGAGGATCACAGTCAAGCAGAGGCGGAGTACTTCCCTAGTCAATGCACACAGGACCACAGAAGTGCCTCTACTAGGACTAAGTCTCAGGAGCACTCTGCTCCTACATAAGTCTTCAGCACTCTTGCCTCTGACTCCTTGTTGCTGCACTCCGCCCCTCTTCTACCCACTACCTCCAAAGATACATTCTGCCAAAGATGCTCTCTTGTATGTTTACATTCCCCTTTTTACATAAGATGACATTGCTGTCATTCTCCACTGTGGAAAAAAAACTCTCCATTGTCACACTAGGGAAATGGACCAGTGATGGAAGTGACCTCCACCTCTGCAGGAACCCTTTCTCCACATCCTTCACCACTCTTTTATTTTCTCTGCTTGAAGAGAAAGCTCTGAATGTATGCTTTAAAGAGCCATGTTGGATGAGATCATGCCTTTAGCGGTTCCACACATCACCACTGGTACCGATATCTGATGGAACAGCTCACATACGTTTTGTAGAAAGGAACATTTTCTCCCAAACAGGGGGAAAAAGAGGTTAATTGGGGGACAGATGTAGTTCCCTCACCAGCAGAGTGTGGTGGTTGATTAATGTATGAACATGGAAAGAAAATGGCCCACATTCCCACAGACGGACTCTGACTGTGCTCTCTTCTGTCCTGATATGCAAATTCCCAAAGACAATGAACACCAAACTAAGGTGAATATTATGAATATATAAGAATATATCCTACATTGTCATTTGTCTATGTGTTAAACGCCTTTATACTTTTCTTTTGTGTTTTCTATTATCTTCATAATAATGAGCAGTTTTTGCACGTGACAATCAGTTTGCTGGGTGTTGTTTTGGATGGCCTTATAAATAGCAGTTCCAAAGAAAAGGTCATGTGACTTAGTATTTTATACGTGGTATGCACTGAATTTTGTTTTGCTCTGCCTTTTCTCATGTCAGGCACTTAAGTTAATGCTGGTAACATTAGGGTTGTCAAATCACGCAGTTGCTGTGGATAAGTTGCAATTAATCAAGATTAATTGTGATAAATCAACATTCCTGAATAAGAATTTTTTTATATATATTGCTGGAACAGAATGTAGTGTAGATGTACGTGTTTTACCCATGCTGGGAGTTGACATAATATTAAGGTGAGTTGTTGAAAAAAAAAATGCTGTGTATGCAGCTAACATTGTGTTTATGGATAGGATATGTGGGTGGATGGTGGAATTAGTGTGTTTTATTCCGTCCATCTGTTAAGTCTGATAAATTTTACCCTGATTCATTCATGCTTCTTATAAGGGTTAATTTTTCTGATTAGAAGAAAACAACTACGTTCATCCACTACATTCTCGCTGCTCTTTTTCAATTTAAAATACTGCAAGGTTCTAATCCCAACTGTAGAAACCCACAGGTCAGGTGACTTCAGTCTAGCATGCTGTTTATTAAGATCACTGTCTTCATTGATTCAAACCAAAAAGTCCTTCCACAGAAAACTGATTACACTTAGTTTTTCACTTGTGACTGTGAAAAATGAGAATGTATTACATGATTTTATGAGTCATTGTTTCTATGTATGTATGTATGTGTACATAAGACTAGTTACCTATTAAATTTGAATTTTTTTCCTGCTACTCCAGTTTCAGAGACGCAGGCTGCAGTAACTTTAAAACACATTATGCCTTTCCTATAGCTGTGTATCTTCTTTATTTGTATTTGTTGTGCATTATGTTTGTGGAGCAACACAAACTCACGATCAGTTCTGTTTTATCACACAGCCTCAAGCTTTTCCATGTTTTCCTAAGAGAAAGGACGGGTCAGTGCAGGAGGGAAAGAATGTGGACAAGTTTTAACACAGTATCAGTAGCTACTCTGAAAAAATATTCCTTATTAATGCTGTTGATGTGATATGAAAAAAAAAAAAAAACAATGTTCCCAGTATCTTTATCAGATTTTCTGGAACGTTTAGTTTATTTGATACATTTGGTGTCTCGATACATGTCTCCATAGGTACGATCCAGGTTTTTTTTTTATTGTTTGGTTCCTTACTGTTATAAGGAATCAATTCAGAATTCCTTTTCATCTCCTTCCATGTGACAGTAGTTAGTATACCATCCAGTGGCCATGTTGTTTCCCATAGGCATGCTGGTCCTGTTAGATAACTGTTAACTGCTGTTAGTGCAAAAATCAGATCAGGAATCATTCAATTCTTTGAAAATGTCTAGTGTCAGACTAGAAAATCTTTTGAGAATTCCAAGAGAAATGTTCCAAAAATTTCCCACTCATTTGTCCATTGTGTCTTATCAACAGCAATTAATTTTTATAACAGGAAATGTTATTAAATGATGCAGAAGGTGTAGCACCGTGACCACCATTCAAATGCATTAGTGTTGAAGCAGGTCCATGTTAACAGACAAGTTGATCAGTTTATTTGGCGTCTGCCTCTACAGCTCTGAGCATTAGCACCTGCAGCTCTTCAACAGCCCGTGCACATATGACCTGCGTGTCAGTCTTGGTTCTTGCGTTTCCTCGTGTTTGTTTAAGCCTTTTCCTCTGAATGTTAAACACATCCGTCTGGTTTTCCTGACCTTCATGATTCCAACACTTGTTTTGTTCATCACCTTTCTGACAAATTACTCAAATATGTCAATGTCCAGTTTTTTTTTTTGTTGTTGTTTTTTTTACCAGCATGTGCATTTGTGTACTTTCATCCTCCAGTTGTTATGAAAGACTTTATACCAAAGTTCAGATGTTTCGTCATCAGTGCTGCTTTAGTATCTTTTTTTTTTTTTTTAATTTTGGTTCTTATTTACTTGTACATTCTGTAAAGCATGTTGTTCTTTTTGTTACATAGCCATTACTCATACATTAAAACATGAATTCTGATGAATTGCTCAGAGTCTCCTTTGTCAGACTAACAAAGTAAAACTTGATTCAACAGTTTGAAGTGAGTTTTAATTTTGTCCATTAGGTTTCAATCAAGAGAAAATTGACGTTACATTCAGGGATGGTGTTTCTAAATATGAGCTGGAGTTAGATGAAATGTTAAATAGAATGTTCAAAAGCTCCTGCAAGACTGTGTTTCCTTTAAGATGAAGTGTTTCTTCACCTCCTTTATTCAACAATTCAATTTCACTCACTGTCTAGTCTGAATCAGTATAAGAAAAGTTAATATTAGTCTGGAAATGCATCAGTGACACGTCAGTTTCGACTGCATGTCAGGAACTGCTGCTCAACCCTGAAGCCTCTGCTGTGGTGTTTTAGTGGGGCTGACAAATGATGAACATTTTAATCTAATTATTTACAGGGTATCTGTGGAATTATCACAGTTAATCAGAAATAATTAAGTAAAGCTAAATCAACTCCTGAAGATTGACAAAAATTAGCTGTAAATTGCCAGAACAGAAAGACAAAAAGACAAAACAGCAGGTAGATTTGTGTTTGCATTTTTTATTTGTGGCTAATCCAAATAATGGAATGTAGCTCTTGTAGAACGTGTGGAGAGTTTCTTTTAAAAACTTTAAAAAACTGACATGACCTGGAGTTGAAGCCTCAACCAACACAAAAAATGATCTTCTCAATAAACGGAATTATTAAAAAAAATCAATTTCCTCACTGGCCCTAGAATATCTCTGCGCCCCTTACAAGGGACTTGCCCCCCACTTTAGGAACCACTCCTCTACATTTTGCCTGGGTAAAGAGATACTGTAGGTGATGCCTCTCTTTCATACTTAGACATATGTATCTGTGATGTTTTTGCTCATATGGAATATTTCACAGGAAATAAACTTTTGTTTGACTTAGAGCAAAGGCGACAACGAAAACATTGTCACCTTTAACAAGACGTGCAAACACTAAGTGGTATCTGTATCGTTAATGTTGGGTAAAAGGCTCATTTTAGTTTTATTTGAGGGATCCATTTTCTCAGAAACATTTGGCAGGAGTTTGACCAATTTTCTCACCGACGTGCTCTTAGCCTGAAGGAGGAAATCGTTAAAGAAAATGACTTTGTGATTACCCACAAAATGCCAAGTTGCTCCTAAAGTGGGGAATTGAAGCCACACACTTTGTCTTCACAAATGAAGAGGGAAAACGCAGACCTTCATGAATGTATGTTCTAATGGTATTTACATTCTGATGTAGGAGAGATTACTTGTAAACCACAGAACATATGGGTTGAACACTCCTTGGTCCCTGTGTGAGGGTGAGTCAACAGACATAATACAATTGTCCATCCATCCATCCATCCATCCATCCATCCATCCATTGTTGCCAAAGTTAGTGTCCAAATATTTTGGTCACGTTGTTGGACTTGGGCATTGCTGTCAGTCAACCAGTTCTAGAGTTTGGGCTAAAAAAAACTTTTAATATAGTAAATGCATATTTAGAAAATAAATATATAATACATGATGGCTAAAAGGGTTTTAAGACAGATGTTATTTCAGCAGAAGAGGCAAAGAAGTCTCAGCCTTTAATGACATGATGTGGAGCCTGGTCCCCTGAGAGTAAGTGACATTTTTATATTGAATTACTTCCAAGTTTAGTAAGTTAAGCTAGAGCAACTGCCGCAGTTTTATTGTTATTAACTTTCAGTACCAATAAATTAATGTCATAAAATTAGCATCTCATCCGGTTTAATGCCAGTGCACACAGGTTAATGTAAATGCATGCGCTTATGCAAAAAACCTGCTGTTCTTTTAGCCCCTTAAGTGTGCGTGGGATTTGCATTGAGATGACAGAACAGTTTCCTCCTGCAATGAAAGGTCATGTTTACAAGACTGGAGCGGCTTCAACATCATGAGAGCATATGCATGGACACACCGACCTGCACAAGAATAAGAGCTGATGCATCACCAGGAGAGAAGAAAAGGAAGCGTACCCACAGGACAACAGTGTGACGGTGAGAAACAAGCTGGTCGTATGGATCACAGACTGCTCAATGCTGCAGCACAGGATCCTGTTGTCACATGTATGTTTGAGACAAATGTTCTGAAACACCTGGGTGTGCAAGGGGTCTGCTCCCCAGTTTGTGAACCATCAGGCTATGAGAACACCTATATCTAAGGATGTTACAAAAATAGTCTAAATAATCTAAAATTACATTAAATTTGAAACTTGGTAAGAAAAAAGTCATTATGAAAATGAGAAAAAATTGTAAATGGTTGAGAATAAAGAAAGAAAATGTGTGCAAATTAAATGAATTTCATAAACTTCATTTTGAAAATTTTTCCCTTTTCCCTCAATAAAACTTATTTAAATTTTGCCAATACAAATAAAGGTAAATTATTATTATTATTATTATTATTATTATTATTATTATTATTATTATTATTATTAATAATAATAATAATAATAATTTGACATTTCAAGATGCTGTCAGCAGGTGGAGCTATAGAAACGTCAGCCGTGCTCGGAATTTCCTCCCAACAACAACACAGTATATTTACATCAGTGTACAAATTAAAGGCCTGAAATGTGTGTAATCTGTTCTGCACGCTTTATATCAGGGATTACACGCCCATGTGCGTCTGGACTCCTTCTTTATGCTTCACTAATTCTGCTTAACAAGCAGGATAACAATGACATTAAAGCTGGGATGGAGGAAAAGCCCTTGACCATAAGTCGGTGAATCTTTTATTTGTCGTTCAGCACCACAGGACACCGGAAGATGAAGTTTGCGTGGGGTTCCAGAAACGCCGCTGCCGTCGCTCCTGCTGCTGCTGCGTAAAAGGGGCGTTCCGCAGCCTGGAAGCGTCTCTCCCTGTTGGCGGCGGCAGGTGTGCTGGGTTGAAACCTGTGGCAGACCAAACGCTCACAGATGTCTCCCACCTCAGTCAACATGGGCTGGATTCTCTCAGCTGCATGAACCGCCCTTCACAGTCGCAGCCTGCCCACACAGGTGTGAGAGATTTGTCGTTGACGCGCCTCACTTCAGCGACAGACAGTCGTCCGTCTGCCGTCGACCTGGTAAACCCTCAGTGTTTACGTGCAGTTTGGGACCGTGTGGCTGCTCCAGACACGGAGCGACGCGCGGGTTTGATGTCGGAGTGACAATAAAACCCTTATTGTTGCGTTTTTCGCCCGTCGCGCCGCTGACAACTTGTGTTTTACGCACAAGCAGCGTCTGGAATTACCGCAACCTGGCAACTGTGGCACCGCGGAGCACCAAGCCCCGGGAGGACGGCGGAGCCCCACGAGTGTATGTCGTCCTCGGTAACAGCGGCAAGATGAGATCTCCAGTCGGCCGGGAGAAACGCTGTGGAAAATTTATTTGGCTGCGCCACTTCGCGCTTATTTAACTCCTGCAAACCGAAGGCGAATATTACCAGTCAAACAATTCGTTGCTCGTACAGGGAGCCACCATGTCCAGAACGCTTAAGAAGAAGAAACACTGGTCCAATAAAGTGGTGGAGTGCGCGGTGTCATGGGGGAACCTGGGGGACTTCGGCTCCGTGGTGGAGGTTCTAGGAGGAGCAGAGCTGGGACAGTTCCCTCATCTGGGCCAGATGAAGCTGGACGTGCTGGTATGTCACGTCGGGAAGCTGCCCTACTACGGGGACGTGTTGTTGGAGGTGAACGGGACGCCCGTCAGTGGACTTACAAACCGTGACACCCTGGCTGTCATCCGCCACTTTCGGGAGCCGGTTCGTCTAAAGACCGTCAAACCAGGTGCGTCCTCAGGTTTTTATTTTTGTTTGCTCATTGCTGGTCTGTTTCTGTGGCGCCTGAGCTGTTTGTTAGATGAATTTGTTGATAAGTGGCCAGTGTCAACACTGAAAATCTGATGACAGGTTTCAAAGAACCTCAGACACAGCAGATTATTGATGTTGTTCTGCAAAACTGATGAGTGCAGACAGGAAGTAGTTTTCATCCTTCGTCAAAGTGGACTAAGTCCATGCAAACGTACAATCACGATAAAACACAAGGATAAAGTCGGTAACATCCTGTCCCTGTTCATAATGCACTCCTTCTGTACTGTCCCCCGTTCTAATTGCCCAGTTGCCCCATTACTGTTCAGGAAGATCAAACAGTGATAATGGTAGTAATGGCATGTAGCCCATTTAGAATCTTCTAGGCTAAGTGCACTTACATGCATAGAAAAAAGCCTAATTACATCCTCCATTATTCAGACTCCTGTGTTGCCCATTGGCCACAGCAGCCATAGAGTAGTTATCTGTGTTGTATTCCGTTGTCCCATCTTCCCACATCCAGCCCCCAGAGGAGGCTGTCTGCAACTTCCAGACACTGATAATGAGGTCTAATGGCCCGGTGATGCTGCTGCAGCCTGTGCTCTACCTACAGGGCTTCAGTGGCGGAGGTGGCTGGATGGGAGAGAGACGCGTGATCATGTGCACAGGACATGGACACACTTTTATGATGTGCTGTATTATCTGCTGCAGTGCCTGATCTAAAGGTTACATTAGCAACAGCAGCTGAGTTCTCTGGAAACCCCAGGGCGTCCTGGAGGATCAGCTGCATTTTTGAGGTGTGTGTGATTGTGTGTGTGTGTGTGTGTGTCTTCCAGTATGTTTTTTTTTGTTTTATTTATAGTTTAGTTTAGCAAGTGTTTAATGAGCAATGACAAAGTTGGGTTGTAAGTAGAGCATTTTCTTTCCAACCAATGCTGACGGCTGATTGGTCCGCCTGGCAGATACTGATATGACGATGTTGATCTTTAAAAAATGTTTTGAGAAATAGTCATCTTCATATACAGACATGATGGTAGAGAAAGGTTCAGTTGGGATGTTTTGTCTGACCAAAAACAAAACTCGAACATGAGCAAACAAGTTAAATGTGAATACATCTTCAAGCTCTATGCAAATCTAACATATGGTTGTCAAACATTCTCCCTCCTTTTACTACTTTTAGCCTCTGTGCTATCTTCTGATGTGGACACAGGTGTGTCGTACTCACTGCAACTTTTTGCAAAATACAGTATGAAGAAAAAACAACTTTTGAATGTGTTATTGAATTTGTTGTGCTAAATTGTTTTTCTTCTCTCCCAATTCGTGCTATGCATATGTTGTGGGCCTCCTGGTAAAGAACATCCAAACTGCTGAAAACATGCGCTTGTTAGCTGTTTTAGCTCAAAAGCTAAAGACCCAAGCGTTACACCAGCAGACTGCAGGCTACCTTGAGATAATTTCTCACATCTGATATTATGGTTGTGTGAACATGAAGATGTGTGTCTGTGACATGTCATTTTCCAGAGGTCCTTTCACCAAACCCTCTTCCCAACCATCTGTTGATGATAAATAAAGAGCAGGGTCTGCCTTTAGCATGAGCGGCTTCTGCTCTGTGGGTAAACACTAGGTGGCAACACCAGCAAAACTCCTCAGCCTGTATGACAGTTCTTCACTGACACCAGTAAATTTCAGATGTCCACATGCTGCTTGACTAATCAAATGTGAAGTTGCAACTCTCTTCTGTGTGTGTGTGTGCGCTTGTGTGTGTGCATACATGCAGGGTGGAAAAAGGCCTGGCGAAGCCCCTGGCATCAGCATACAGATGGGGTTGTTATATTGTATGATTGCGTACCTCGTGCATGGACGCATTTCTGCGATGTGTGTATAACATTCCTGTGTGGTAGCCTCATGTTTAATTCACACCTCCTGCATAATTGAGTTAGCCAGTGGATTCTCTCAGATGGAAGTTGTGGGCCTGGAGGATCAGCTGTTAGCAGGAAGCCCAGTCCGCCGTGATGACATGACCGTGCCTGGCAGCCCCGGCCGTGCTCCTGGAGGCTGCCAGATGTTGCCCTCCACTGCCCTTTCAGAGATTCTTCCATTCTGTACCTGAATCTGCTGGGTTTGATCCACATTTTGGGTAAAGAGTGGGTTGAGATAGAGCAAAGGCGGGGATGTGAGGCAGGGATTGGAAGAGACAGAATGCAAGATGCAAGTCTCTGTGGAGACTATTATCTATCTTGGCTATTGATCGTAAGGGAGTTTCGGCTGAAAGAGCTCTTTTTCTATAGTTGCATCATATACTCTCCCAGGGCTGCCCATATATTCCCACATACATGGCTTCTTATTGGGTGTGACCTGTGAAGTCTCCTGATGGTGGATTTGCCATCGGGGGTGCTACATACCAGCTGCTTGACTTTAACTAGCTGTTGTATCATCTCAAACATTCTCCTCTGCCATCAAAAAGACATATTTGCCCAGAAAACTGCTTTCCTCTGGATCGTTTCTATATGCAGCACTCGTCCATCAGACCTGGAGATATTTATGCACTATGGCTAACCATCCCATTGGCTCAGCAGCAACTAAATCTCCCAAATCACTCTTTTTTTTCTCATCTTGATGCAGCGTTTTAAATGCAGCAGATGGTCATGACAGTACCTAAAAGTCAAAAGACTCACCGAGTTGGTGTCAAGCGATTGGCCGGTTGTTTTTTTGGGCTGTGTTAAAGAGCAGTTAACTTCAATCCCCCTTGACTCTGTGTACTGAAGCTGAAACTCAAAAATTGTGCCGTGAAAGTTTATATAAGGTGGATGTGTCCATTTTTGACATTTTCTTTAAATAAGCCGGGCTACACTTCTGTGAAAAGCTCTGTGTGCAGTACAGGGATCTATTTCTGCTGGAATCCCCAGCTGAGGATCAGCAAAAGCTTCCTGTCGAAAAACCTCATAAATGACAGGCCAAATTATTTTTTACTGCAGCAGTTTTTTTTCCTCTGTCCCGAGAATTCGACTATCAGACATAAGATTAAAGAAAATCAAATCACTCTCCTGCAATGGTGTGTTGGCAGTTTGTTATCAAATCATCATCGGATTTGGTTCAAATTGAACTGAAAACACTTCGATGATTCCTGGTACAGTTACTGCTCTAACTGTGTACCAAACAGATAATGACTCTGAGAGACGTCAAAAGAGACACACATAAAAATAATATATATGTGTATACAGTATATAGTATATATGCACCATCCCATATGTTTCCCAGCTGTGTAGGGAGGCTCAGATTGACAGTTCGACACCAGTCCTATTAAAAAGCACAGAGTAGTC